TGCACAGTTGTACATTTTGTGTTTAAGTGGTAGTAAACGCATCAAATTTGTTAGTAAGCGCATAACTCAACAACGCACAGACCAATTTAGCCAATTCTTTTTTTTTACGTTTATTAAAGTCCAAGGATGGTTTTCACTGCGGGAAAAAATCAAATAATTGCCGTGTAAACCCTGATAACAGCCCTTTTCTATAAGATAAAAGTTGGCATTGAGATTCAATTATAGTTATAGTTAAATAGTTGAATCCGAGATGGCGCGCTAAAGTGCATTATTAGCAATTCTTTATAGAATTTCTTTTAAACAAAAGAGTAAAAATGAATTAAATTTTTATTAAACACTACCGGGACGAAGTCGCGGGCAAAAGCTAGTTTAGTATAAAAAATAACGAATTAGTTAATGTAGCAACACAATAACATACACTGCAAAATACAAAAACCTTACCTTAACCTCACATTTTCACAGCTATTCTGGTCCTATTTCATCTAATTTATTCAATTGTCAAAAATAAGTAAGGTTACTTCATACATAATTAGTTTCCAACTGTTCTAACTGTTATTGCCGCTAATCTTATTTCGATTCCTGGTATATCAACTAAAATGTTAAATTTGAAGGTTAGGTTTATCTTAAATGTATGCTCCTTGAATAAATTTTACACACTAGTTTAGTTTATATACAGCCAATTGAGTTTTTGCTTTTTATGCAAAAGGTGAAGATCACACTCCGCACGGAAAGCGGTAAAGCCGGTGTATCTGAAGAAAATGGGGCAAGGCCGGCGAGCGCACATATCACTGCTTAAAAGAACCCGTTTTATTGCTCCCCGAATTGCTCTATGCATATTTCATTCGTGTCACCGTGGCAAGGAAAAGACCCGTGCACTGTGGGCTCGCGGCTTGTGCGAATCTTCTGTTTACCTGTTTCAAATTCACGCAAACTCCGGCTTCGACCTCAACCATAACACTCGTAGTGACATTGATTTCTTTTTCTGAGTTTTCACTTTATTTACAATTTTGCTATTCTGGCTATCAACGAATCAAATGTTTGTCTGTTTGTATTTTCTTAATGGCACTGGGCACTCGAGAAGTAAGGCATTGTTTACCAGCGGCTTCGATTTCTGAATGTTTGAGTCTCGCGTGATTGTCGTCCCTATGTACTTACGTGCCAGAGGATGTAAGTCAACAAGTCAATCAGTTCGCAATCGACACGTGTATGTATGTTGTAGTATTAGTTTCCATTTACGCCCTCGATGCGCACTATTTTGATACGCGTCTACGTGTGTCACGTTCATTCGCAACCGCTGCCGTCGCGGGATTTCAATCAATTCAAAGAGCACAGACGGCGCCTTCGAACGTTTCGCTTAGTTTCGTCTACCTTCATCTTTAACTACGCTATTATATACATGTATTTACACTATTATATTCGCGCTATGGGTATGAAAATCAATGCTGGATGCTGGCAAACTCATTTTGTTTAATATAATAGTAGATAGAGATACAAGGGTAAAATTTAAATGTTACACTATTTGATGTATGTAATGTATTTTTGTGGTTTCAAGCGTTTGAGAAAAAATGATTATATGAATGCATTTTGAGCAACTTTACTTTTAATGACATTAAAATTGGTTTAATGGTTTTTGCGTGAAAGCGTAACTAACAAACAAGTTCAAATTTGCATTTATAATTTTAGCCAGGATAATATTGGGATTAAATATCAAATATCTCAGCACAATAAATGTTAAATACCAATTTTAAATACATATAGCTTCTATGATTGACTATTATAGTTTTTAAACTTCGGAATATATTAATTCCAATATTTGAAATATTTCGCAGTATATATTGCATTATGAAACATAAAAAGCGTATTTTGTTTAAAATATAAATTAAAAGTGTATATATTAATTTTTTTCATTTATACTGAATCTCGAATTAACCAACAAAAATATTTTTTGCTATTTTCTGTTAAATTTGTTCTAAAACCATATTATTAATTTGATCTACAGATATACTGAATTTTGAGTAATTATAAAAAAAAATATCCATAGAAATCTGTTTATTAGTATCCTAAATACATAAATTGACAATAGCACAATGTTAATTCTCGTAATAGATTAAAAAAATAGTAAATTTATATAATATGCTCTCAACAGAATTAATTTGATATTTTGACTGTTGACAGTTAGCATTCAATTACACTTATTTGTTGTAAATATAAACAGTACACATAAACAACAACAACATTTCAATTTATGTTGTAAATATAAATGACAAGAAATATGTTTGTGTTATTAGAATGTCTATTCTCAGAACATATCCGAGTACTTACTAATTTGTCCTGTCACAATATAGTTTTCTTACTTTCAACTTGAAACTCTCGAGGCTTCAAATTTTCACTCTATGCGTTTGACGCGCTCTGGGCGCACAATTTAATTGCGCGTCTAATGCAAATTTCCTCGAAGCCAGGGACCCTGGCAAAACCGTCTACGTCGGTGTGACATCCTCGCCGAACTGCGTATTTAAGCAAAGCGCCAAAGTTGGAAAGTTTTTCTTCTCTTCCCGGCAAGTTTCACGGACGCAAATGTAATGCTAAACTTAAACTTTAGACGCGTACGAGTAAAGTGTCTGTTGCCTGCTATTGCATTTACGTCCATGGTTCTACTTGGGATTCGTATTCGCAATTCGAGGCGGCTAGCAAACGAGAATTTGCTAACAGCGCAGACAAACATGCCACGCGAGAAGCGAATGCATGCATGCTGCCCCCTGAAGTCGTAAATCTTTCGTCCGTTGATGCCTCACGACGCACAGCCCAGTCGCTCGGAAGTCTCAAACTTGTGTTTCAGGTGTACCATGTGTTTAACTTTATTCGGGTTATTGTCGGAGTTGCAGTTAATCAAATTACAAGACAGTAAATCACTTTGGACAGAAGAAAATATTGGTACAATTTGTCAAAATTGACATTTTATATGGTCATATAACAATAATACACATTTGTAATTTACTAATACAGCAAATTAATAGCGCACAATAAAATAAACTATAATATAAAAATAAATCGCAAAATCTGTTGGTAACCGCATAACTCAACAATGCCTAGAGCAATTTGGCCAATTCTTTTTTTAGAATGTTCGTTTAGGTCCAAGGATGGTTTTTACGGCAAGAAAAATTCGAATAATTGCCGGGAAGACCCTAAAGACAGCTCTTTTTTATAGGATAAAAGTTGGCTTTAAATTCAATCATAGTTATAGTAAAATAGTTGAATCCGAGATGGCACGCTAAAATGCATTATTAGCAATTCTGTGCCTGAGCATAATCAAATATTGGTTTATAATTGAAATATCCATATCCATTATCTACGGGCATTATGTACGGGACGGAGCCTGCGCCTGCGCATTTACCTACGGAGTTGCTGTTGTTCGTGTCAGAGCGGCCAATTTTTGGCCCAAACCGAAACTGAAGCAAAAACTAGAATTCTTGGCCAAAACTGGCCGAAACCGAACTCTCGGTTGGTCACTAAATTAATACTTATTCGGAAGTTTCGACATAAGAAGAAATTAAACGAAAAGAAATTAAATTAAAATTATTCCACAAAAGGTGTTCAATAAAAACAAAAAATTACTTATTCATGTTTTGCTACTAATAAAGTAGTTTTTACTATCGAAGGTAAATTTAAACCAAAATATTTCTAAATTGCTCGGGCGTGTATGTATTTTTTTGTATTCACACAGTATTCTGATTTGTAACTCGTTTCACAGCGTCACAGGACACTACATCCTGCCCACAGTAAAAAAAAATCAACTTTGTCTGCGATTTCCGTTTCCGATTTTCTACGCTGGCGTCACCGGTGCGCTCCCGCAACAAAAAACCAACCCTCTTGTTACATTCTCAGGGCAAGCGATACATTTTTTGTGCACGCGCGCTTGTGTTCTGGCCGTGGGCGACAGCGTAGCATGTTTCGCTTGTTTTCTGTATTTTTGTTGCGGCTGTCCTCGCTACCTTCGCATCTCATACTTGAACTCGGCGGTTTTCTCATTTTTTTCATTCTTCGGAGGATTTTCAATGCCGGCATATTTTGAATTCTAACATTCAAGGAGACTTCGCAGACCTCATTACAGATCCCCGAATGCGGGCAGAGGCAGTCGCGGTTGACGGTTGTGTTGGGAAAATATATTCGAACGCAAACATGTTAAAAACGCCTTCAGGAAATCGAAGAGCTACACGCCAGCGACGAGTGCGAGCTTTGAGCAATTGGACGTATATATCTATGTTGAGAGCGTTGTTTGGAAGCCATTAACATTGTAATTTTCTCTCATTTCGTGTTTGCAACGCGAGCGAATATGTACATGCAAATATGCGCCGGCTCCTCGATTGCGTCGAGCGTTGTTCTCGCAAATCATTTGTTTATTTCGGCATGTAGAGTTGAAATGGTTCGTTTTGTCCGGACTTATTTTTCTTTCTATTAATCATGCATGTATATATTCAAAAAATGCTCAATTTCATCGTCGATTATACTAAATTTTGTAAAAACACAAAAATCTAACCAACCAACCAAGATAAATAAACTGCGTTTATATATGGAAATTACACGATACGAGTACCTACCATAAATAGCAGAAAAAACTGATATTGTAATTTGGTAACGGTCCCTGGAGTGATTTTCAAAAATATTAAGCAACTTCAGAAAACTTCTAAAAAACTTCTGTTTAAACTCTGAAAAATAATCACAAAGTATTTACCATTAAATTATTAAATAATAAATGCATATTTATGTGCAATCTTTTAGAAAACCAAAGCAAAAGTACTTTTTGCTGAATAAAAAAAAACAAAATTTGCCAAAATTTTCAAAAATTTTGAATGTTATAATATCGCAGGCACTTTAGTTATTTATGATACTTTATTGTGACACAATGAAATGCCGGTATCAATAATATCCCGGAGCGACCACCATAACGGATGCACATTAGTTAAATTGTTCTGTTATCGATTAACGCATTCCAATTGTTGCAGACGTCGGCTGGTGGCCAAAGCTGTCGCAAATGTTCGTGCTGCACATGCGAGAGAGCGGCGTGGTGCCCAAACACTACGCGATGCTATCGGAGAATTCGTCCGTCGAACATATCGAATACAAATTGGAACCGGTCATAAGGATGCACGTGCGGGGTAAGTAATCACTCCTATCGCCGAAGAAAATTTATCAACCTACGCAAAATATGAATTTTTCAATTATCCACCATTTTCTTCATCTTCCAAAAATTCATTTATTGTCAGGCAAATCACAGCGTTGTCGGCGTTTTCTCCAGTTTGTAATTCACTCCATCCGGACGCCGTGGGCAGACCCTGGAGGCAGGGGAGAAATAATTTGATTACAAAATGAAATGCCATTCAATTTTTAATGAAAAACTTTCGAGCAATTCCCGTTTCGAGATCGCGCGTTTTCGCTTGCCATTAGATTAATAAATTTAACACACATAACTTCGCTCCGATGCGACACGAGACACGACACGCCATGTTTTGTTGGTGACGCTTTTCAATTTGCAAACAAGCGCGTGACGCCCTCGATATGCGCCGCTACGGCTAGGGGGAACTCGTATTATCGCCCGGCGATAATTTATTTAAATCGGTAGTGATAATTTTCGAAGAGCTTTTCGGCGGCAAGAATATAGCTGTTGCTTCATAATAATTATAGGCACCTTGTCCGTGCACATAAAACGTTATATACATTTTATGTAGCTGGTAAGAATTTAATGAAGGTTACTTGCAACACCAGCTAAAATCGAGCCAAACCCAGGAATTGTAACAATGTTTTTGTACCTTGTGAAATGCGGTTGGTTATAACAAAAGATGGGATTCGCAAGGTTTACACGCAGATGTTGAGTTATTTGAACATACAACATTATAAACCAAGCAAAGCAAAATTACGATATTAGTCATGTTTGCTTGTTTTTATAATTTTAATAAAAGCAGAGTTGTATTTTTTATGCAGAATAATTTATTTAACTGCAACAAAGCGAGTTATTTAATTATAAAATAACATTTCTTAAGAAAATTCCGGGTGTCAATTATATGAATTTTATTTCATACTATGATAGAAAATGGTATTTGCGTTTTATAAATTTTTAAATTATCAACATTAATTGACTGCTTCTTGAATAATTAACAACAAAGAAAGCTATAACTATGATTGAATTTTAAATCAACTTTTATTCTAGTTTTTACACCCAGTAAGTTATATTTATACGAATAAAATTGCTTACTTGCAAATTTATCAAAATTGGTTGTGAACATTTACAAACACAAATAAATAAACATTCTCACCATTTACCTTTACTCGTACAATATTAGTTAGGATATAGGTTTTCAGCACGTAAATAAAAACAATAAATTACAAACGAAAGGGTCGTGTTTCAGTTAAACGCAAAAATAATTTTATTTTATGATACACAATTTACGAACCATATAATTTCAGTTAATAAATTCTGCTGAAGCTTGTCAAATATTAAATACTGAATGCACTATTGCAAAAGTAATAATACAATTTTAATCAAAAATTAAGATAGCTCAAATCGTCATTGTTTTATAAATTATAATTTACATTTTCGTGAAATTTTGTTCATTAATTTAATAATTTTGTTTATCCTTAATAAAGGTAAAAGTTTTAAAATATTTGTGTCTGTGAGAATTTTTATTGGAAATGTTATTTGTAAATAGACATTACTCTTACCTTATTTATTCTTGCCTTGCTGCGAATAAAAAATTTAAAACACGATTTAAACTAATATTTTATAACTTTTCCTGAGTTCACAACTCTGTTATTACCTCGGATACCCACAACAATAAATTCGAAGAGAACCTAAGTAACTACCTTCCAACAAAATCGATTCTACCAATACTCGTTGCAACTTGCAATCCACTCGGCTAATACAAAAAGGTAGAAGGCGCAGTCGGAATGAAATGTGACTCCGTATTCAGCCCGTCGAACGCTGATCTATTTTTCAATTTTCCAGTAATAATCATCTGCGCACCTGGAAACACATTCGGACGATCGATACTGGAAGCGATAGACAATATGCAGCTGAGCAAAGAGTTCAGTACGCTGACGGTGCTGATGGACATATCGGCGTTACCATCTTGGTCGCTCTATTTGAATTCGGAGCAAACGGAACAAGACGGCAGCCACCACTCGACGGAAAACATCACCGGCAAGAATAACGCATCCGCTCACATGAATTCCACGCACAACAATAGTCGAAAGCGCTCACACGACAGCGCTGAGGGCGCTCTAGAAAGAAGGAATACTCAACTTCTGCGTGCCGACTTTCTGGAGCGACTTGGGAACGTCACCAAAAAGCACATACTGCTTTTATCCGATAAGGAGCCGCGCGACGCCGTTGAGGACACCATCAACAAACAACTGAAAAAGATTGGTATTGAAAGCTTTGCGCCCAAGGACAAGGAGGATTGTTTCGGCCTACTGGATTTGAAAGATGACTATTACACGATGCGGCGGCTGCTCAAAGTGTGCGGGCAACTCGGTGAGATCAACGAGTTCGAGGACAACCTGCAGGAATGGCACTTGAAGCATCAGCAAAAAGAGGACTGCGAGCTGTGCGACGCGTCCGAACTGACAAAGCTGTTGAGCTACGTCGCCATTCTCACCATGTCGATCTTCTCGATTTTCGCATTCCTCGCCGTCGTCGCGTGGGTGCGCTATCATATTCTGAAAAAGCATATCACTAAGGGGCCGTACAAGGTGCTGCTGACGGCGACCGACTTCGTTTTTCCTCAGCTACCGGATACGAGGCGGGTGAGTGCACACTTCCTTCCTGCTTCATTTCGCATAGCATAGAAATACATTCATAATGCAATTTCCTGCAATGTTAGGTTAGATTATACTCCAAGTAATAATATTGCACAATATTTTACGCAACAATAATAGTATTGTATTATTTTATCGTGTTCTATTAATATTATGCCGGGAATGATAATTTGCATGCGAATAATAAATAAATATTAAAATATTCAATTTCTCGTACTGAGTCAAGTTCGGTTTGTTATTATATCGAATAAAACGCAATACATAACTTGGATTTTGGGTAATTTTAGTAACAATGCAAATTAATTTTGTACCTGGTCACCAAGGAAACAAATTTGTTAATTCCATAATTTAATGATAATAATCATATTTTTAAATTAATTCAAATACGCATTATATGAGCGTATAACGCGCATGCGCAGCATGAATGTTACATAACCTACACACTTCTCGGGAAGTTTCAATATTTATTAATTTTATTGCAAATATCAATCGATACTTGACCCTCAAATACAACTCAATTATTTAAAATTGGAAAAAGTGCACAATTTTATTCGAATGAGTACCTAAACAATGAAAAAGTTTTAAAACGATATTTTTTATTTCTTTTTAATAAAAATATTCCATTCTTCTATTCTTTTAATTTAAATATAAAGATAAAAATAATGATAATTAAAAACCGGAAAGCGTCCGATTATGTAACAAGACTGAAAGAATACGAGAATTTTAATTAATGTCTCTTATATTTCTGATAAAATTATTAAATCTTATGATTAAATGTCTGAGGGATTTTATTTTCTCACATTCTTATTATTTCTGTCTGGCAACAAGTGGAGTCGTTAATATTCCGGTCTCGTTTTCACACAAAATCCAGCAAATCGTATAAATGTTAAGAAAAATCATTATTTTCTCCTTCTTTTAAAATTTTCACACATAAAATGTTTCAGATAATAAAGCCGTTTTCTGTTTTCTTCGCGTACCTTAAAATTCACGTCTTTGTCGTCGGTGCAGTTATTAATCGATTTTCTGAATCAGTGTCAAGGTTGCATCCATGCGGATGTGGTAACTCATGTCATGATTACCTACTTAATTGCACTCCTTGCTACTTCAGTTCGCTTCTCATCTTTATACAGGTGCATTTGGCTAATAAAAGTAAAAAAATAAGTTGTTTGTCAAAAATAAAATAATTTGGCATTTTAAAATATTGAACAAAGCGGAAATTTTTAATGCACACTAATTGGTATTGATTTTGGCAGGGAATGTCAAGGCTGTGGTCATGCAACCTCGACTCGACGAATGCACGAGCATAATTCGTGATTTATTAATGGCCCTTAGCACTCGTTTCTTTTCATGCGCGTATCCTGATCACCCCACTCGGACTCCATAAAAGATGATTTGTGGCGTTATTTGTGCAACGTTGATGGCGTAGCGGAAATTCTCCGTAAAGTTAATGCGCAAACAAATTGTTACAGGTGGACGAAGGCATTGAAGCTATGCTCTGTTGTTGGCTGCAACAACTGCAGGAGTTTGGCGGACCAGAAGTGGAAAAACCCGACCTACTGCAAGGCTCAGGGAACGCTGCTGGTGGTGGAGGTGGCGCAAGCGGTGGCGGTGGCGGCAACACCAGGACGCCGTTACGCGGCGGCTCGAGTCCTAGTTTGGCTAAACAGTTGCTGATCGATCCGAGGGTTCGCTACAACGTACGAAAGTCCCCAAAAACTCTTTCACTCGTCTCTATCCACCGCGTGCATGCATCCGACAGCTCCTGCTCGCTCAAACCATTTCGGCCGTCCGGGCGAGCGAGGCGTCTTTTATAGTTATCACCACTCGCGTCAAGTACATCAACTTTTATTGTTGCCAAAACTAGCGACGTCGAAAATTCGTACAACTAAATTTCAAATACCACATATATGAGTACAATCATTTATACAACGTGAAAGTATAATTGGTTGCCTATGTTGTTGGAACTTTAATCTAAGATTGGTTATGTATGTATATTTGTATGTTTGTGTGTGATTGCAGGGCGATCTGGTGCAAATGAAGCCCATTCAGTTGGAGTCAAGCGTAGAACTGAAAGCTAAGACGGTCGAGGTGTTGGTGCTGCTGCACGGCTTGCGCCACGAAAATCTTAATCCTCTCATCGGTTGCCTCGCTGAACCGCCGCGTGTTTATCTCGTGTCCGAGTACTGCGCGCGCGGTTCCCTGCAGGATGTTCTGCAGCAAGACGACATCAAACTGGATTGGTCCTTCCGACTGAGTTTGTTAACAGATTTGGTGCGAGTACGTATCTGCCTTACTCTCTCTATACTCCTCCTAATTAATTAATACAGCGGATACAGATGCAATTTCCGCGTAAACCGTAATTGCAAATTGTCAATAAATTTCGCACCAAACTGAATTCATAATTTTTTGTTGGTGTATTGACATTTTCGGCGCGTAAACCATGAAAACGCTGGTTTTAACACACAATAGTGGTACTCAAATTAATTGGATTGTGTTGTTGTTCGAAACAGAGTTAATAATTTATTAAATCAGTCCTCGCGCTAGTTTAATTAATGTATATTTAATGTTCACGTTAATGATTGGATTATTATTTATACAGGGTATGAAATATCTCCACCAGACGCCTATTAAAGTTCATGGTTATTTGACGTCGAGAAATTGCGTCATCGATGCGCGCTGGGTGCTCAAAATCACTGATTATGGTCTGCCTTCATTTTATAACACACAGGGAATAACAGTTGCACAAAAGTCAGCTAAAGGTTAGTCCAGTCGGCCATTTTGTTTTGCAATGCACTTATTACTTCAATTTAAAAAGAATGCGAAATAAAAATGATCGGAAAGTTTGCCATCGGCGAGTTTAAATGAGAAATTTCTTGCGAAACTATTTCCATCAGCAGTGCGCGAAGCATCGTAACTCGATTTGAACAGTTTTAAGTGCACTTTGTTTAAAGTAGATAAAATAACCCAACATTAAGGGCATTAAGTATCGCATAGTAGAAGCAACAAAAAATTTTATTCGTTTCTGGTTGATTTACGTTTTTGGGTTGAAATGCTAATATTATATTCTGTTGACCCTCATTATAGCAAGAAGTAATTTTATTGCGATTTCGGAGATACTGATATGACATGTATGTGGTTATATAAACACACGTACATACTGAGGTCTCCGAAAACTTTTCATCGCACGCGTATATTATATATCGCATCAGCTCTGAGTTTCTGATTACTTTTCAGAACTTTTATGGACCGCGCCAGAATTATTAAGACAACCGAGTCTGCAAAAAACGGGCACGCCGTCTGGCGACGTCTACTCGTTCGGCATCATAATGCAAGAAGTGGTTGTACGAGGCGAGCCGTTTTGCATGCTGGCGCTTACTCCCGAAGGTAATCGACTCATATTTCACTAATATACTGGGATTATATTTTAAAATCGATCATTAACACATTAAAACCCTATATATTTACAAGTGTTCATAAATATACCACATGGTTATAGGTATCTGTTTTTGTGTATTGGGTTGCATATAAGTTGAAAAAAGGTTATGATATATGTTAAAGCAAAAAGTGATTTAGTATTCAATTTAACTCTTTGAGGTGCTATGTCTTTGTGCAGAAATAATTGCGAAAGTAAAAAAGCCGCCCCCACTAATTCGACCCTCGGTGAGCAAAGGCGCAGCACCACCGGAAGCCATTAATATCATGAGACAATGCTGGGCCGAGCAGGCCGAGATGCGACCTGACTTCAACGCCGTGCACGATCAATTCAAAAAACTGAATCACGGCCGCAAGGTCAACATCGTCGACACCATGTTTCAAATGCTCGAAAAGTACTCGAACAATCTGGAAGAGCTCATCCGCGAGCGCACAGAACAATTGGACGTCGAAAAACGCAAGACTGAACAGCTTCTAAATCGAATGTTGCCTAGGTAAGCATGTTTTATATTGTTCTAATGCCGCGTAAATCTAATTTTAAGCAGATATTGCATATGTCAAGGTTCAGGCATAAATTAATTATAATTTATGAATAGAAGCGAGGTGCAAAAAGCAAGGGTTACCCCGGTTCTATTCTCAGACGCGTTGATATTATTTTGCAATTAACGCCACCCAGAAAGGGTGAAATGTAGTCATGTTTTGTGCACTGGCGCAGCTGGAAAGTTTGTTTTCGTATTTTCCAAATAGAAACATGACTGTTTTGGCACGCGTTCAACTCGTAAATACGCGCACAAAGTTTGAATCATAATTTTGCAAACCTGCACTCGTTTTGCAGTTCGGTGGCCGAGAAATTGAAGCTGGGGATGCACGTGGACCCCGAGGAGTTCGCGGAGGTAACGATCTACTTCAGCGACATCGTCGGCTTCACGACAATCTCGGCGCATTCGACGCCATTTCAGGTTGTCGACCTGCTCAACGACCTCTACACCTGTTTCGACGCGACGATCAACGCGTATAATGTGTACAAAGTTGAAACAATTGGGGATGCGTACATGGTGGTTGGGGGGCTGCCGACGCCGATTCATGACCACGCTGAACAGATCGCCACAATGGCACTGGACTTGCTGCATCAGAGCGGACGGTTTCGTATCAGGCATCTGCCAAAGACGCCGCTGCGATTGCGAATAGGATTGCACACGGGGCCGTGCTGTGCGGGGGTTGTTGGACTCACAATGCCGCGTTACTGTCTGTTCGGAGACACGGTAAATACGGCGTCGCGTATGGAAAGCACTGGTTCTCCGTGGCGGATTCATCTTTCAACGGCGACCCGCGCCAGGCTCGAAAAGGCGGGGGGCTACAAACTCCAATATCGCGGCGCCACCGAGGTCAAAGGTAAAGGCACTATGGACACGTACTGGCTTTCGGGGAAAGCTGGTTTCGATAAACCCTTGCCGACACCGCCTTCGTTAGAGGAGAATCATGGGTAAGGATACTGTTTTCTTTTTTCTCTCGTTCTCGGGAAAAACCCTCAAATTTATTGTTCTTTTGATACACGCTCGTAAAATTGTTTTACGGGTACAAACTTTTATAAGTCGCTAGTCAAGCAGAATTTTTTGCGATTAAATGAAGAAAAATATGCGTTTTTTATGCACAGAAGGAAAATTTACATTGAGCACATTTTTTAAAGCAGTCTCTTGACATGTGTACAAAGTGACTATGCGTCATTTTTTGTTCCATGCTTGCTCAAAGCTTGGATGAAAGTGATTTAGTAAGCCACGACATCAAACCGATGTCGGAAGGATCAATGGATAGCGATACAGGATTACATATGACGGCCTTTGATGACTCCAACAGGTTTGTAGCATACGCAAAAACAGATAATTGAATTTAGATCATAATCAGATTAGATATGCTCGCATTTCAAATCCAATATTCACCAAAAAATGCATGAGTCATGGCATTAGCACGCACAGTCCTAAAAACACACTTGAACATAAAATATCTGATGTGACAAGACTGCTATTCTAAAATATAAAAATTCAGTCTTATTTGCATCAAAAAAGACACCTAACGGAATATCTAAAATTATGAAACTATACATACAAACTCACATTTTTACAATCTAGTAAAAACATGGTTATTCGTCGCGAGATGGCGTCACTCATGTGTTATAATAACATAACCCAATTTAAACTCTCTATCAAGTAAAAACAACTACTATTAGAAATTGATGTAAAGCCAAACGTTAGTTTCATAATTTGCTGAATAATTTCAGAACCCCATCAACACCCGACCCATCCTTCATAAAAACCATGGAATGCTCAAAATTCTCCTCACTTATCCGTAGTCAAGACCATTCCATCTCTGGCGAACACCCCCCGCCGTCACACCACCACATCGTCAAGAGTACTTCCAGTGACAATCCCGGCATGTCAATGGGTACACCGGTGTCCGCTTCCGAAGTAGCCGCTGCTCTCCTGGGTGCGTCAACTAGTTCACTCAGCGGGTACCGTCAACGCCCACGCCGCATCGAAGAGGAAGATCTAAGTACACCATATAGCCACTACAAATGCCTCAGCCCCAAAGATCGCCTTGGAAAACTACGCCGTCAGTTTAGCCTGGACAGAGCTCCGGACGAATCAAGGGATCGCTGTGTAAGCACATTAAATTCATTTAAACGCACGTATCTAGTTACATGTTACGTGCTGGAAGAAAAATTGTACCAATTTATTGTTTTCAGTCGCCGAAAAAATTATGCAAGCAGAACTCGGCAGGCGCCGCCGATTTGGAGAAAATCGAAGAGGTGACGATGACGTCTGCCAATCTACTTGCAAGCGACTTATCACCGGGAGCTCTACACTGCTCCCTATCGATATCAGCCAGTTCTCTACTGCGTTAAGCACGATACTCAATTTGAAATGTAATTTATTTTGCATTTGATACCTTATCGCAATTTAAATTTCTAAGTATGTACTTACTTACACAGCGTTAAGTATGGAACCTCTCCTCTTTGCTAAATCTTTGTGATAATACAATACTGGCATCTAGACGATGCGATAGATATAAAGATATATGGAATCCACGTTAATGGACAGAGATAAACTATTAATAGAAAAAGTGTTAGACAATCAAGAATTAAGTATTATTCAAATAAGAGAAATAAATGTGTCAACATAAAATATAAACTAATGCCTAAGCCAAAGTTCTTTATCTTGTTTGTCATGTTATGAGATTATTTTTTTAATCGGTGGATGTGATATCACTTGGGTTTGAAACTATGTTCTTGAAATTTAAATGGTTATGAACATGCTATTTAACAGGGTAATAGCTCTTAGACTATGCGAGCCTTCGCAAGAGCAAATTAATAAAAACGAGGGAAACTGAAGAACTTGCAAAATCATTGTCACAATAACTTTACTATAATGATCTATTGATATAATTACTAATATACCAGAAACATATTGATTAACATAAGGTATCCTAGGTTCACGTTAGATCCAGAAAACAATTGATATAAATATATAGTATATTGTAGGTATGTTGAATAACTTTAAATGATTAGCATGCAATTCTAAATTTTGTTATTGGTGTGCCACATAAGTTATGAATTGATTGTTTGAAGTTTAAATGATGAGCGATGATGTAAAATTGGAATAAAAGACTTTATAAACGTATTTTAACTTATTATATGAAATGTTTTCAGCAATACCTGAATTAAGAATCCTTTTATGTATTGATTTAGGCCGAATTTAATAGAAAATTTTAGTAAAGCCTAATATTTGTGTGTTATAATGCATTATCGAGTTCACGACCGTTCGCCGCAAGACTTCTCGGCAGTAGAATTTCGCCGCCAGAATAATTCAAATTTTGAAATAACTTTGACGCGTACAGATAGGCATTTACTCGTATAAGAATATTAAACTGATTTATATAAGTTCAATTTGCAACCTTTAGCATATCTTACATTTGTGGATGTATTTTTATTAAATAGTCGACTAAGATGATTGAGTAGCACACGATTACTTGATTGATGATTAAAAATCGTACCATAATCGAGTATTTATTAAAATTTTATCAACAAATATATAGTATAGTATGCCAAAGAATGATATAGAATCAGAAAACATTCATTTTTGCACTTTAGTACAAATTTCCTAGTTTTGAGACGCTTTACTGTTTTTTCTATATCAAATATTGAATGCTATCAAATATGTGATAATTAGCATGTAAAATCGTTATATTTTAACTTAGTTACTCAATTTACTATTTATCTAAATGGAAACACCAAAGTCATAGATTTTTTCTAAGAAGCTTAAAAATGCCAATATACTCAGGTAAACCTCTAGCAGACCACTTTTTGGATGTATGAGTATTTATAGATTAGAATCTATTCAAGTACCTTGTGTTTAACCAGTTTTAGTAAATTCTGAGAAGTGACGATAATATTATAAATGAACCCTTATCTAAAGCTACGCAAAATACTTCACGCTGATATCAACGATAACTGATTAATAAAACTATATGACAATTTTGGATAAAATTTAGTCGACGTGGAGACACGTTAGAGTTGATTGGAACAATTTGTGCCCAACCTCATCATGTATTCAAATTGAAATTAAACAAAAATAACTTCATATTGCTGAAATCCAAGAGGAATTTTTGGCAAAATGGCCGGAAATATTTCCGTGGTAAGTAATAACAATAATAAGAAGAATTTCTGATATACCTAAGTATTAAATTCTAAATTAAAATAAAACTTCTTTATTTAATACTTGATATTGATATTTAATCAATATTATTATTTATTTTTTCATGTTTAAATAAAATATTGTGTTTAATGATGATACTATTGGGCAAAAACAAGTCAATTTACACGTTATCGCATTTTTTCCTCGTACGATATATGGCTGATAATAAGTTGATTAAATTATTTATTCTTTATCTTGATTACATAGTCCGACTACGTGTGGGTACGGCCGGCCCTGAACGATGAGTTTGCGATACCACTTGGCGGCCAAGTGGCCGCCATTGAACCAAAACGTATCAAAATCAAGACGGATAATGCCGGCGATCTATACGTATCGAAAGAACAAATTGTCAAATTGATGCACTCCAGCTGCGTCAAAGATGTGAATGATATGATCACCCTCGGTGATTTAACCGAATATTCAATTTTACGAAACTTGGAAATGCGCTACTACAAGAAGAACATTTATGTAATAATTGTTATAAAATTTCAGTTTTCAATGTGTATTAATGCTAATTATTTTAGACATACACTGGTTCTATGTTAGTGGCTGTGAATCCGTATGAAAATTGCCAATTTATACAAATGCTTTGATTAGAGAATATCAAGGTATTCCCATGCATGATTTACCACCACATATTTTTGCTACAGGTGACGCTAGTTTCAATAACATGTTAAAGTCACGAAAAGATCAGTGCATTGTCATCAGGTATTTAAAATTATCAGTAAAAATATGTAGAATATGTTTTAAGTAAAATATTTTAGTGGTGAAAGTGGTGCTGGTAAAACCGAATCGACAAAGTTGATCCTCCAATATTTGGCTACAGTAAGTGGCAAGCATTCATGGATTGAGGAACAAATTCTCCAAGCAAATCCGATTCTAGAAGCGTTTGGTAATGCCAAAACTGTACGCAATGACAACTCCTCTCGTTTTGGGAAATACATCGACATACATTTTGCTAAAGATGCCATTGTTGGTGCCAAAATTGATCAGTACCTTTTGGAGAAATCAAGAATTGTTTCTCTAAATGAAGGAGAGCGTAATTATCACATTTTCTATTCAATGATTGCGGGCCTTTCTAAAGATGAAAAGAAACGCTTGGACTTAGATGATGCATCACACTTTCGCTATCTGAATCAAGGCAAAAGTTTGAAATGTGAAGGCCGTGATGAACAACAAGAATTTAACGAGATTCGTAACGCGTTCAAGGTGTTGAGTTTCAGCGACGAAGAAACATGGATGGTGTTTGAGACAATGGCGGCTGTACTACACCTCGGAAATATTAAATTTAAAGGTCAGGTTGTCAAAAATATGGAGACTTCTGAGGTAGATAATGTGAAAACTTTGGAGAAAGTCGCTGAATTATTAATGGTGCAGAAAACTGAATTAGGCAAAGCTATCACTCGTAAGAGTATCATGGTTTCCGGCGATAAGGTGACACAGGACTTATCAAAAGAACAAGCTGCTGATTCCCGAGATGCATTTGTCAAGGGAATTTATGGCAAACTGTTTATCTATCTCGTTGAAAAGATTAATGTGACCATTTGTCAAAGTGGTAATTTACGCAAAAACTCAATTGGAGTTTTAGATATTTTTGGTTTTGAAAACTTTCAAATCAATAGCTTTGAACAACTATGTATTAACTACGCAAATGAAAACTTGCAACAGTTTTTTGTCAAACATATCTTCAAAATGGAACAGGAATATTACACCCAAGAGGGTATTAATTGGGAGAATATAAAGTTTATTGATAATCAAGAGATTTTGGATATGATTGGTATGAAGACCATGAACATACTGAGTTTGGTTGATGAAGAAACCAGATTTCCCAAAGGTACTGATACTTCTATGTTGACCAAATTACACGCTCAACATGGCAAAAACAAAAACTACATCAAACCAAAGTTTGACGTTGAACCATTTTTGGCATTCAACACTTTGCGGGAAGTGTTAATTATCAGAGCGTTGGTTTTCTAGAGAAGAACAGAGACAGCTTTAGTTTAGATTTGAAGCAAGTTATCGCAAGTAGTGCAAAGCCTTTGATAATAGAAATATTCAAGAAAGATGATCACGATGAAGTTAAGCAGAAAGCCAAATCATACACTTTAGCGTCACAGTTTAGATCCTCGTTGGATGTGCTGATGAAGAATTTGAACGAATGTCAACCCTTCTTTGTGCGTTGCATAAAACCAAATGAAGAAAAGAGGCCTAATGTAAGTTAATATTACTAATATTACATTTGTTTTTGTTTATATATTAACCACCAATGTTTATTTTTGATAGATGTTTGATCGTGACCTTTGCGTTCGTCAATTGAGATATTCTGGTATGATGGAAACAGCAAAAATCCGCCAAGCTGGTTATCCAATTCGACATCAATTCCAGCACTTCGTAAATCGTTTCAGATTTTTGGTTATTAACCTTGATCACAGGCAAGATCCCTTGATAGTTGCAAAGAAAATTTGTCAAGCCAATTTCTTCAAAGGGAAGATTATCAAATTGGTCACACGAAAGTATTTCTTAAAGATGCTGAAAATCAATATCTAGAATCAGAACGACAAAGAATCCTTTCACGTTACATTATTGTACTGCAGAGAAACATCAAAGGTTGGATTTACCGTCGAAGGTATCAAAAACTTCGAGCGGCTGCTGTCACTTTTCAAAAATACTTCCGTGCTCGAGGATTACGTGCAAGATTCTTGCGCATTCAACGCGGTTATCACCGCCTTCAGGCGAGCATTCTGTCTCGGCAAATGACTTTCAATTTCAAGATTATCCGAGACCGACTGCGGAAATTGCAAGCGGTTGCACGAGGCTATTATGTGCGTCGACACGCTAAATTCGGCAAAATTGTTGAAGCAGTTTACATTAGAAAACACGAAGAGAAAACCTTAAGAGCACAAGGTAACAGAGATTACAAATACATTGCGGATACCAACTTCCAACAACGCATGCAGAATTTGGACAGAGAATACCAAGTTAAAGCCCGGCCTGCACCACCACCCGAACCGGAAGTTGGAGAAGACAGTGAAGGAATTCGCATGGTCATAGACAACTTTGACAAATTCTTAAACGAATACGACGGACAAAGCCCACAGGTATCTCCGACAAAGGAAATTAAATCACCCATTTATGCTCGTTAATTTATGTCTATTTATTTATTTATTCATCTATGCATAGTAATTTATTCTTTTTACTTTATTAAATTATTATCACACAATTCAGTTCATTCTTTCTGATATACCTATTTTCGTTTAAAGCTGCAGCCGCAACACGCAAAGGAAGACCTCTCGGACTTCGCCTTCCAAAAATATGCTTCCATGCATTTCGCTCCATCAACTACGGATCACTTCAGTAAGAAGAGGTTGAGGGTCCGCTTCATATTGGTCATAAACTGCCGACACCTGACGATATTATCGCTGCGCAAACTATATGGATAACAATTCAGAGATTTATGGGCGATATTGCTGAACCCCCTTGGCGGCACCAGCCAAGAGACAATCTGTAATGTTGTCCATCAATCAAACAATTGGAAAAACTTTTCCAACAGGAAAGAGTATCAAGATATTTTGAGGCTTGAGAAGAAAATGGATACTATGTCCAGAGACCAACGTCAGAAGTACATTAACAAAACATTGAGGAGGAAAGACAGGTTGTTGGAAGACTTGAAGAGGGTATGGTTGATGATAATGACGGAATGGAAATGTACACCGAGTGGACGAACACCCGAAAGAAAACTGTCGAGAAGTTGTACTTTATTATTGGGCACGGTATTCTTCGCAAAGAACTACGGTAAATGTTTATTTTATTTTATTTTCATTTAAAATGGTAACATTATACAATTGATAAATATTACAGTGATGAAATTCTATGCCAAATTGTGAAGCAGCTTCATCAGAATCCAAATGAGTCATCGCGGGCTTTAGGTTGGATTTTATTATCCATGTGTATTGGATGCTTCCCACCGTCTGACTTACTTTACAATTACCTGCGTGCATTTATTCGCACATCAGCACCACCCGCGTATGCCGGCTACTGTGAAATGCGTTTGATTCGTACGAAAAAAAATGGTGCCAGGAGTCAACCGCCGGCCGCCATGGAAATTGCCGGTGCTAAAAGCACACAACAGTTAACTGTCAGCGTGCAGTTGATGAATAAACAAACTATTGATATCAACGTTGATAGCGCAACAACCGCTAAAGAAATGTGCGATGAAATAGCACGCAATTTAAACATTAAAGACAACGACGGATTTTCAGTTTTATTACTTGTTGTGACAAGGTTTTGTCTATTGGTAACGATAGCGATCATCTTATGGATGCTATTTGTCAATGTGAGCAATATGCGAGAGAATTGGGCAAGTTTGAAAGAGAACCAGGCTTGTGGAAGCTGATCTATCGCTTTGAAATGTTCACTCCATGGTATGATGCAAAGGCAGATCCGATGGCAACAGAACTTATTTACTGCCAAATTATCAGTAGTTTTAAACACGGTGAATTTGGTTATCCGAATGATGAAATGTCTGCTACTCTGGTTGCGCAAAGATACTACATTGAGCAAGGTGCTTCTTTGAATATGAATGTACTTGATAATAAGTTCCATGAATACGTCCCCAAACACGTCAAGGTTAGAAGTAATTTAGACGAATTCAAGAAGAAAGTAATAGAAATCTTTCTGAAACTACCTGCAGTCAAAGAGAAACAGAATCCAATCAGGGTCAAGGAAAATATTGTTAAGCAAGCAATGGATGCCTTCCCGATTATGTTCTCAAAATTCTTTGAAGCTATAGTCGTTTCCGGTTTAGATCTACCTAAGAACAGCATAATTATTGCAATCAATTGGAGTGGAGTCTTTTCATTGATCAACAGGAAAAGATATTATTGGATTTATCATATCCTGAACTTGTTAGGGTCACCTTCACACCTGATGAACGATCGCAAATGGGCAAAGTCACATTATACGCGGTTACAAATGAAGAGTTTGTTCTCCAATCCCCGGAAGCACACAGAGTTAATGAAGTATTGAACAAATTGCTGTATGGCCTCAGACAAAGATCACAATATTGTGTGGCTGAAAAAGATTGCAAAGATGATGGATATCTACAATTCAGACGTGGTGAGTTGATTACATTAGCAAATGGCATGACAGGAGCAGACGCACAAACATGGGCCACTGGAATATGCCAAGGACGGCAGGAGACTTCCCAATGGATCATGTAAATGTCCTACCATGTCTTCAACCACCCTCACAAGAAGTCCTAGACGCTTACAAGAAAGGAATGTTTACTTATAAACACCGTAAGGGTGACACAGTGAAGAGATTGAAACAGCATACGTTAGTACAATACGCTGAAGAGAATTACAGAGCTGCCCGACGTTTGACAGAACAAACTTCTTCAGTATTGGGCACTATTGCAGCAAAGCAAACTGAAGAACTATGGAAATTCACCGCAAAGCCAATGAGACAAGCATTACTAAAACGTGTTTTAGAAGATCCCGATCGTAGTTTGAACACTAAAGCTTGTGAAGTGTTTATGAATATTCTAAGATACTTGGAGCTTACACCTGGTAAACAAGGTGAATCCGTGAAGTATGCAGCGGCTACTTTTGAACCCTGTATGGACAGTGAGCTACTACATGATGAAGTTTATTGTCAGATTATGAGACAACTTACTTATAACCCAATGGATCAATGCGAGCGAAAAGCATGGGAATTGTTGTACCTTGCTACTGGACTTTTCCTTCCAAGTCCACCTCTACTTGCTGAAGCAATGAAGTTTACAGATTCACGAGTTCATCCACTTGCTTCAGTGTGTCATGATAGATTACTACAAAGACAGGCTGAGAAGCTGACAAGTAGAAAACGGCCACCAGTTGCCATCGAGATTGAATCAATTCAAAATCTCATACAGAGATATATCATAGAGTGTACTTCCCTGATGATACGGATGAAAGTTGTTTGGTGGATTCGTTCACGAAAGCGTCTGATGTTGCTGATGAGCTCAAAGCCCGTCTCCATCTTAAGTCAGTTGCTGGTTTTAGTTTGATTGTGGTTGTGGGTGAGAAGGCATTCTCAATGCCAAGTGATTCGTATTTCTACGACTTCTTATACGAAGTGTACGAATGGTTGAATAGCATCTCCACACAACAAGAGTACACTGTTGCTGGTATTCAAAGAGTCAAACCGCAATTGCTAATATTCTTCATCAAAAGTTATGGCTTGATGGACAAGTAGGTGTGGACCGAAATGCTGACACGATATTCCACTACAATCAAGAAGTGCAGAAATACCTCAAAGGTTACCAGAAATGTACTGAAGAAGAAGCAATTCGTTTGTCCAGTTTGATCTTGCGAATTAAATATCCCAACCCGTTAAAAGATTTGCCTAATGTACTTGATCAAATTATTCCATATTACATCAATAAGACAAAGAATTCATCGTATTGGAAGAAAGCGTTGGCTGACGGTTATCAAAAATTGCAACGATGGATTATGATGATGCAAAGATAGCGTTTTTAACAATTGTATCGAAGTTGCCAACATTTGGATCAACATTCTTTGATGTGAAAGAAGTGCAGCAGAGCGAACCGGAGATTATTGCTATTAATCGGAATGGAGTACATAAATTAAACTCGGTGACAAAGGTATTTACAGTTCATTAAAAGCTTATTTCAATACCATTATCTAATCATTATTTACTTGTCAATAGGATATTGTGATGACCTATAAACTGTCCGAATTGGTTAACTGGTCTTCTGGAAATACGTTCTTTTCGTTAACCGTCGGCGATATGCAGCGGACAAGAAAGATTTTATGGGAAACCACGCAGGGTTATAAAATGGACGATTTGCTGTTTTCCTACGCAGAATTTGCAAACAAACCTGCTAAGAAATCCGAACAAATATTTGATTTTTAAACTATTAAGCTGTGTACTTTTAACGATAAGGGTGTTGGGTGTATGTTGAAATGTTATTATAAACTCTATTTCAAATAAGTATGAACTAAATGTCAAATACATTTACAAAATTTAAAAATTATTTCGACGTTAGAGGGCGGCACCAATCGGAAACATTCTATAACTTGCAAGCGGCGCTGTAGTTCGAGCGTTTGACAGCGAAAACTGCACTTGACGGTCGACGGTCGGGAGTTGAGTGAGTTGAGTTATCAGAAAAGGGTTTTGTCACATCTCGTGCGTGCTGAGTGCTTCGAAGAAATATCTATGCTATCGCTAGCAGCAGCCCCGATGCATCGTGCTAGGTATGTATCGTAATCTAAAAATCGCTGACAAATTTATGCGCAACGACCTCGCGATCTCACCCGTCGGTCTCGACGCTCTGGCGATCATATGCAAAGCCTTTTGTTCGCTTGTATAATAAATAAATGACGTATCTGGCTTTTGAACTTGCTGCAACGCGAGTTCCGACTTGTTCATTATCACATCGCGTTGTTTGCAATGTACATCTCGAAAACGATCGCCAGCATTGAGGAAACGGCCGTCTATCGATTGAACCGTGTCTGTGTCTATTTACGTGAATGAAACAAAAAAGTTTCGACTACGCGAGTAACAGGCCGACGACAATTGCTCCATCAGCTTCTGGTACGTTTATCATTCCATTGTCTGCATTTTGAAGTTTATCGCAGATTTGAATAGTTTAGTGACTCAGTGTGCAGTAGTAAATTGCCTATTTATGTGTTTGCAATGATTACAATGTTTTGTAAGCACAAGTTAATGATGTGCGTATGTTCAGTACATTGTTGCAAACTTCAAGAGCTCTTGTTGCATTTGTTTTTCTTTGTTTACATAGTTGAAGAACGTTTATGGTTCAATTAGTTATCAATTAGAGTAGGCTGCATTTGGTGTACGTGAAAAGGCGACCCGATGTTTTGAAAATAATACCGACCTGCCTGGTGATTATTTACATAAAAGCGGCAACACTGGTCGGGGCCGTTCAGCTTGTTCAGCTAACATCTGAATCAGGCGAGTGCATAGGTTCCCCTTCACGGTGAACCTCCAGCGGGTGGGTGTGTTAGTGTGTGCGTGCGAGTGTGCAGCTGGTGGAAGCGAGCGTTGCAGCGCGAGTGACTTTCGTTCGTAGCAAGCTCAGCAAGGCAGCCAGTCGGGCTGGTTCAGCTTTTGCTTTCATCTGTGCGCGACTGGCCGTGCTGTGTGCTCGCCAGCAGCACCGCATTGCATTCTGAATTCGCCGCTCCGCAGTCATTCGATGCGTGTTGCGCTATCCTTGTGCATAACGCTGTTCTCCGAACGGTTCCTATCTATTTCGCCCAGCAAAACACTGAAAATAAATCCATATTATTAGAAGAAAAGTTGCAGGCCCGTGCGGGCTGATTCGGTGTTCATGTAACGCCCGTAAAATCAGCATTTGCAAAGAAACTGATCCCCTTGCGAGGCGAAAATAAAAATGAAATAACCTCAAGGTAAATGCGTTTGTATGTATGCGAGCAATGTTGCGACTGTATGTGCACTTGGTACACTATTAATAATGGTTGTTCCTTGTTATATTTTTATTTATTATCGCGACAGCGCGCTGGATGGATTATTCGGAACGTAATGAAATGCAAGCAACATTTTTCTCTAATCAGTTGGTGACCTCACGACTGTTATTAATGGCTTTTGTTAAAACATCTCTCACCTTACACTTGTGACATTTCTTTGTTTTGTTTTCAGCCAGTGAACAATTGATTTGTTTGTGAAGATACGAGGGAATGTGTGTGGCTGCAGGGTGCTGTGAAGCGAGCGTCTATGGCAGATCCAGCTAGTGCCACCGCTGGTGCCAGCAGAAGCCGCCGCAAGCGTGCGCTGCCACCACAACGTGCACAAGCTAAACGCATTCGTACTCAATCACCTACGTCTAGTAAAGTAAGTAATAACCGTCTCCAAATTCTTCTTGCTAATTTTGGGATTGGTTTGCTTTTAGGTCAAGTCGCAAAATTTAGTAAGTGACACACAACCTACCAACAAAGACGTGAACGGCGTCTCGACACCACTCATAGCAAAAATTCGCACTAACAACAAGATACATCAAGCAAAGTTAGACGCGAATAAGGCTGGTGGCAGCGGTAACAACGCATCTCAGCCGGCAATTAACAACAAACGCACTAAAGGCGATACCAATCAGGACGCAGAAACAAAACTTGGTGGCAGTTCAAGAAAAACCACTCCAGCAACTTGCCGTCAGAACTCCGACCGAGCACTAGTAATAAGATAAAGACATCCTCGCCCGACTTCCCGGAGGATTCGCCGTTGTCTCTCGACGACGAGCAACATCCAATCAAATCAAAGTCCAGCAAGGCTCGTAAGCTCGCATCCGTCAGCTTATCCGAAAGTCTTCTGAGCAGCAGCGCCGGCCCGTCGAACAACGACAGCTTCGCCAGTACACAGCACAAGTATCCGCTGCGAAGTCAGGGACGACTCTCTGATCCCGGCGTCGCACATCGACCAACCACACAGAGTAAATCCACAGCGCTGGGGACCACCAGTAGTCAGAACACCAGCAGGAAGTGCCCGAGCCCTCTCGCCTCACTCGAAGCGGAGCTGTGTTGAGGCGCAGCACTCGAAATAGCAAAGGTAATCATAATCTCTTTACTCAAATGTTTAGTGGTTATCTTATCGCCTAGATCATTATGTGATATCAGGATAGAATCAAGTATCATACATGCGCTAAATTCGTTTCTTATTGAATGAATGATAGCATGTTATATTTTTGGGGTTCTTTCAGGGCACAGCACAACAACGGGTTCCTGTGCTAGTTCCAGTGGTGGCCGAGGCTCCAGCAGCAGCCGAGCATCCCGCCAACATAAGGTGGGAGCCACGGCTCCTGCCCCCGTCCCAGCCACCCCAATGGCTTCCGATCAACTAGAGGTGCCGAACAGCTCATTGCAAGGTAAGGAATGTACTAGTATTTACATGATACATATGTTTCTATTTCTGTAGCTATACATAAATTACTTCTACAGTAATTACAACTTCTTGATTTTTTAAAAATATTACTTTAATAACACTTAACTGGTCGCGATGATAAATAGGCATTTTGGTGCATTTATGGCATATATCACATGCGCGTTGATCTAGCACCTATTTAGTTATTCTTATTTATGTGTGCATCGAAATCTTATGCCATATACAGAATTAGAAATAGTTACCCTCTATATTCGTGCGAAAATGTATAAATTATTTGAATAAAATTAAAATTATTTTATGTGACATAAATAATAAGTAGGTGCATTCTTGCATTTTTTGGAAATCACATAAATATCTATGTAATACCGACGTCATTTCATTTTCGTTCGTGACACACTCATTCATTTATTATTATGCAAACAACAACACAACAAAAGCCAATCTCTAAAATTATCTGTCACACAGTTGAAATTTACATTTCACTTGCTCTTGTTTATACAAATCAATATTGAGTTTATTTTCAACACTTTTAATAGCTAAGCGATCATTTTTTGATTGAGATGCATGTGAAATTCGCTGAATGAGAACTCACGGTTGTCTCGGTAAATTTTTTCACGTGTTCACTTTCACTCACTCTTCGCACATTCGAAGCGCCATGGATTATCTTGACTATTATTACGATCTACTGCAATATTACGAAATGACCGGTGTGACCCAACGTAAGATTTATGTTTGCTTTATTTATTTATTTGATTTGTAAAATTATTTCATCATGACATTTTATAATTGACTTATAAAAATGTCACTTTAGACAAAGCAGTTCTACTTAAATTCACAGTTTCAGAGGAGCCACCTTCACCCCAGGAAGCAACACAAGCGATGGCCAGTGGCGGGGACCATCGGGCCCCGGTCCAGACTCAGAGAGTGATGACAGCGAAGTTGGTCGCTTACAGGCGCTCCTGGAAGCGCGCGGTTTGCCACCCCAGTTGTTCGGTGCGCTGGCTCCCCGGATGCAGCAGATGTTGCATAGGAGTATGGGTGCTAGTAGCTGTGAGTTATTTTTCTTCTTAATTATATCCTCCAAAAAGTGATTATGTTGGTGGAAATAATTAAAGCTATGTATTTATATATTTTATTCGTATCAGCGGTAGCCAAAGCTACACAACTTCTTCAGGGCTTACAAGCAACTGGGGATGAAGGACAACAACTGCAGGCTGTCATCGAAATGTGCCAGATGCTTGTGATGGGGAACGAAGATACACTAACTGGTTTTCCTGTCAAGCAAGTTGTACCGGCTTTAATTACACTTCTTCGTATGGAACACAATTTTGATATTGTATGTATTTTGTTTATAAATTTTAAAGATTGGATGGTAATTGTATTTCTTTAGATGAATCATGCTTGTCGCGCGTTGACTTACATGATGGAAGCTCTTCCGCGATCTTCAGCTGTAGTGGTGGACGCGGTTCCCGTTTTTCTCGAAAACTTCAAGTGATACAATGTATGGATGTTGCTGAACAATCATTAACTGCTTTGGATATGTTATCTCACAGGCACTCGAAAGCCATTTTACAAGCTGTAAGTCTTTTGGAATTATTTGCATTGAGGGTGGTATGAGTGTAACTCTTTTCCAGAGAGGTGTGACTGCTTGTTTGATGTACTTAGACTTCTTTTCAATCAATGCTCAACGCAATGCTTTATCGGTGACCGCAAACTGTTGCCTAAACATGACCAGCGACGAGTTTCAATACGTCGCCGAGTCTCTGCCACTTTTGGCGAATCGACTGACCCAACAGGATAAAAGAGTGTTGAATGCGTGTGCTCTGCCTTTTCAAGACTGGTAGACAGCTTTCAATTGGAACCCGCCCGCTTACAAGAAATAGCTAGCACTGAATTGTTGACCAACCTACAACAGCTGTTGGTTGTCACTCCGCCAGTAATCAGCACTGGCACGTTTATCACGGTATTGCGAACGCTGTGCGTCATGTGCGCTAACTGTCCAGATCTAGCGTTAACTCTGCTAAAACAGAACATCGCAGAGACGCTTTTATATTTACTCACTGGATCCGCTGAAGTAAGCCAGGAAGAAGTTGAACTTGTCGCTCGGCAACCTCAAGAATTGTATGAGATTACCGCTCTCATTGGAGAACTGATGCCGAAGCTTCCAACTGATGGAATGTTTGTTGTCGACACTTTGTTAGAACGGCCTGTAAATATCAGCAAGGATCAGCCAACCTGGCAGTGGCGGGACGACCGTGGTTTGTGGCATGCCTACGGTGCCGTGGACAGCAGAATGATCGAGGCGGCGCATACAAACGGTGACGATGAAGTCAGCTTGAATACGCTGGGCCGTACGTACACTATTGATTTTCATTCGATGCAGCAGATCAACGAAGACACGGGAACTTCACGTCCGGTACAAAGGAGATACGCGCCTTCCAACAACCAAGCCTCGCCGGCCGCTGATCCTGCACCGCCCGGTAGCCGACCAACTTCTGCAAATCGAGATGCCCGTGTGGCATGTCTTCGCGAAGAACGTGGCTTGGCGGCATCTTTTATTAGATCCTTATTTTCAGTCCTTTACGAGGTCTACTCATCTAGCGCTGGACCTACTGTGCGTTGTAAATGCCTAAAAGCTCTGCTGCGAATGGTCTACTACGCTAGCCCTGAGCTACTCAAGGAGGTATTGAAGAACCAAGTGGTTAGCAGTCACATTGCTGGAATGATGGCGTCAAGCGACTTACGCATTGTCGTCGGTGCGTTACAAATGGCGGAGATTCTGATGTCGAAGCTTCCCGATGTATTTGGCATTCACTTTCGACGCGAGGGCGTCATGCATCAAATCAATCAACTGGCCGATCCAGAAGTTCCGCTTGGCGTCAGCCCGCCGAAGTCTGCGAATTCTAGTACTACGTCCTGCATTCACGACTCGCAGGCCGGCCCCTCGCAAACTCCCAACAGCAGTAAATTGGATATGACACCAAACGGCACTTCGGTTCCATCACCAACAGACGGCACGCCTAATTCAGTCAGTTTGTCGCCTGTATCCTCCGAAACTGTTGTTGCCCAACAAACAGGTCAACAACCGCAATCGGTAGTGCCGAAGCCGTCTAGGTCGGGCACTAGCTTGGAGCCAGACACAAAGTCACAGAGTCCTTCGCATGTACGTATCGGTGATGTACTGAAACGAAAACGCGCGGGTAAACGAAGTAGCGGTGGCAGGTCATCGAAGTCTCGACATGAAGATTTACCTTTATCGCCGTCATTGATGCACGATTTGTTCAATAAGGCGACTTCTTTGGGCACAAATACGTCAACTTCTAGTAATTCAACAAGCAACAGGTATAGTTTTATTTAAATTTGTTTTCTACTGAATATTAAAATATTTGTCTCATTATAGGCCTAGATTTTCGGGAAATTCAAAAACGACGAGTTTCTTGCAGAGTTTAAATCCTGCGCGTTGGGGTCGAAATATGAATTCGTCTTCCAATGACAGAAACTATAGTAAAGAGATCGGTAATTGCTTAAATAAATCTTCCTCTAATTCTAATTTGACAGCAGGTAACAAGGAGAAAACTAGGCAGTGGGTTAGAGATCAGGTAAATTTAGACCTTCATTATGTGATCTGCACTTTATTGACACAATCTTTAATTTGCAGGCGACAAAGTTTATCGATATATATTCATCAAATGAAATATCAGGGTCGCAGCATCCGGCAATGAATGTGCTTTCGAGATTAACCGACTGTATTCAAAGATTACCTACGAGCGAGTGCGGTGAAGCCTTGCAGGAGTTGCGAGAAATTCTTATCGAGTCCGATATCTCCCCGTTCGAAGTGAATCACTCCGGTTTAATCAAAGCTCTATTATCATATCTTGCATCCAATACCGGTAAGTAATTTAATGTTACAAATTCGTTGGTATTTATTTCGGGGTTATGATTTAGGTCCTATCGAAAGAGATCAAAGGCTACGCATCTTTCTTCACGTGTTTGCCAACTGCCCACTTCAAATGAACGTTACCGTACTAGATGATGAAATAAACTCTACCTGGATGAGCGCATTGGTGGCTAAACTGAGTGGTTGCGTATCACAGTTGGAACAATTTCCTGTTAAAGTTCACGATCTACCAGCAAGCAGTGGTGCAGGACGCGGCGGGACGAGTGCTTTAAAATTTTTCAACACGCATCAACTTAAAGTAAGTTTTCTTTTCCTTCCGAATAAACTAATTCATTATATCGTGCGTTTTGTTTGTAGTGTAATCTACAACGGCACCCTGACTGCACAAACTTGAAGCAATGGAAGGGCGGCACAGTGAAGATTGACCCCTTGGCGTTAGTGCAAGCAATAGAACGATACTTGGTGGTGCGTGGTTACGGCCGTGTCAGAGACAAAGATAGCGCCGACAGCGACGATGCGGATACAGATGATGACATTGAAGAAACTTTGGCGACTGTCGTTATTTCTGCGTCGGGCTCCAAACACAAGTTGCAGTTTCTTATTGGAAACACAGTGCTACCATACAACATGACAGTGTATCAAGCGGTGCGACAGTTTTCTAACAACGGGAACGATCAAAGTGAAACAGACACTGACAACGAGACGCCTTTGGGACATGCTGGAGTGTGGATTCAAACTCACACGATTTACTATAGACCATTGAAAGAGGAACCCAATGTTTCACAGAAGTCTAGTACGAGTAGTTCGGCTTCAAGTCGAAAAGGCAAAGGATCCAGCAGCAAGAATGCTCTCAGACGCAAGGGAGATGAACTTTGGAATGAAGGTTTAACTCCAGCTATCTTGTCGCCTTTGACGCCGTTTTTGGTCACGCAGCTACCAGAAACAGTGACGATACAAGATGCTTCCTTGGAGGTGCTCTGCTTGATGCGCATTTTAAACGCATTGAATCAGCATTGGACGACGTTATACCCGGCAATAGAGTACAGGCCTATCACGAACCCTTCGGAGTTCTTAAACAGCAAAATTGCGGCTAAAGCATCTCGCCAATTGCAAGATCCTCTAGTTATTATGACCGGTAATTTACCCAACTGGCTGCAGCAGATTGCATCCGTCTGCCCGTTTCTATTTCCATTCGAAACACGCCAACTACTATTCTACGCAACGTCTTTTGATCGCGACCGTGCGCTTCAGAAACTTCTCGATATGACGCCTGAATTAAGCAGCACTGACTCACAGGAGCGCGTCACACCACGCTTGGACCGTCGAAAACGCACAATTTCCAGAGACGATATTCTGAAACAAGCTGAGCAGGTAATGCAAGACCTGGCCACATCAAAAGCGTTACTCGAAGTGCAATATGAGAACGAGGTGGGCACCGGCTTGGGTCCAACCTTGAGTTTTACACACTCGTCTCGAAAGAATTACAACGTGTCGACTTGGAATTATGGCACGCGCCTGATAACCAAGGTGATTATGTGCATAATGCAGTAGGGCTATTTTCGTCCCCCTTACCAAGAAATGCCAAGGTTAGCCAGGTGACAAAGGTGAAGACGAAGTTTAGATTTTTAGGAAAATTGATGGCTAAAGCAGTAATGGATTCGAGAATGGTAAGTGAATAAAATAAAAATAAATTCTTTGGTGATTCTATTCCTGTGCTTTTTGTGTCATAGTTGGATTTGCCATTTTCTTTAACTTTCTATAAGTGGATTTTGGGAGGAGAACATTCTCTGGGTCTTGCTGATCTTGCAGAAGTCGCCCCAGACATTCATAAGACTATTAAAAAGATGCAACATTTGGTAAGACAACGGGACGTCATCCTTGCGAATTCTGATTTAAGTGTAGCTACTCAAAACGAAGAGGTAAATTGCAATGAAACATTTACAAGAAAATACTGTAAAACATATCTTTTTATTAAATAGATCGAGAAATTGGAGTTTGATGGTTGTACCATATCAGATTTAGGCATCGACTTTGTATTGCCAGGTACCAACATCGAGTTGATTCGCAACGGTCGTGTCACTAGCGTCACTATCAGAAATCTACATCAGTACATCAATCTAGTTCTGCACTGGTTCTTAGTTGAAGGAGTCAGCAGGCAAATGGAATCATTCCGTGAAGGTTTTGAATCAGTGTTCCCCGTGCAGAATCTGCGAATGTTCCAACCCGAGGAACTGGAGGCCGTCTTTTGTGGCAGTCCAAGGGATTCTATAAGCGGGTGGGATGTGAAAACGTTGATGGAATGTTGCCGCCCTGATCACGGTTATACAGCTGACTCCCGTGCAGTTCGTTTCTTATTCGAAGTGCTCAGCTTGTACAACAGAGAGGAGCAGAGACTTTTTGTACAATTTTTGACTGGAAGTCCAAGATTACCTGTTGGAGGTAAATTAACCGCATTGAAGTGTTTGTAGTATGTATTTATGTAATTCTTAAATTTTGTTCAGGGTTCAAATCTTTATCACCACCCTTGACAGTCGTGCGTCGTGACACCAACTTAAATCCTGACGACTTTTTACCATCTGTGATGACCTGCGTGAACTACCTCAAACTTCCAGACTATTCAAGCATTGAAGTCATGCGTGAGAAGCTTAGCATCGCTGCGTCGGAGGGACAACACTCGTTCCATCTCTCCTAAGTGCGAGAAAGAGAAGTGCACTACTGTACTTGTGTGTGAGAAAATAGACTATATTTCAACCTCATGCAGAAGATATTACGATATCAATTTAAAGGAAAGTGGTTTATTAAATTACACTATTAACAAACACGATATCATTGGGAGAAAATGGCCATCATTTCATTGACAAAAAAGAATGAATTTGTTGTAATTATTTAAGTTTTTTTCTTTGTTCTCCGAATTGTACATATTTCTCTTAATTTTTATTTCGTTCTACGCGTTTCTTTTGTGAGATACCTGCAAGCCGAGTGCTGCTCTTAGATTTTGTTATGTCAGGTGTACCGCGACCGTGAATTTCATTTAGGTTTTTGTGCGTTTAAACGATTAAGTGAGCAACAAAGTGAGCAGATGTGCCGGTCTCCACTACAAAGATAGCTTAAGCAAAGACTATCAGGACTATCTGCTCGTTTCGATTTTCAGAAGCGTCATTTATGATTTATTTAAGTATGTGAATATTTGTAAGACTTCGTAATAACATGATTTTAACGTTTAATTTGTTAATTTCAAGTTGTGTGCACCTGCGAACACTGGGCTAGACTGAAACACCTATTGCTGTTTCTTGAAATAGCAAGGAGCCAATGATGCATATTTAAGAGAAAAGTAAATTTACTGCTGCAAACCAGCATTTATTAACTACTGTAATCATAAAGTGCAACTATAATGTTTCAATAAATTTCTATACAAAATTTAAAATTCCTTAAATTTCTTAACTGTGATACTGGGTGTTTTAGGAGGAGAATAGAGAGTTGTTAATGGGGACATTTAATTAAGATATGTCTAGAAGAAACCGGAATTATTTTAATTGTTTGATAAATACGATTTTTGAGAAGTCTTGAAGAAACAAGTATTGACAGATAATAATTTTTTATGGAAAGTTGACGCACTACCCTTCTAATTTGCTGTAACGATTTTCACTTTGGGACGATAATTCGTGTTTTGTTTTTTTTTAGAAGTTGATAAATGTATTATATAGCTTTGTTGATTAATCATCTTCCGATTAGTATATTTCGTACTGGTTCTGTTTTTGGTTCTCGTCCTACAAAAGTAATAAAACAGCGATGACTTTATATAGACGAAAATATTCGCACCCACTATATTATTGGCGCTCATCGTAAGATCTCATTTTTATTTTCCTAGATTTGGCTCCGCATTTTTCCCCTACAAAACAAATATTTATTGCTGCAATATTATTAAAACCGGAACTAAATTCACCTGGACAAAAACTTAACGTGACTTTCCATTTATTTCCTCAATACTCCCTTTCAAGTACATAAACTTCATGTCGTGTTTCCCATCGTATTCGATAGCCAGATTAAGTTGTTCGTCCTCGATGCAAGAGATTTTCTTTTTCCTTTTCTTCTTTTAGCAACTGCTAGCGCACTTTTCTAAGCTTCATAAGCTCAATTAGTTGCTAATTGTGTCGCAGACATGCTTCCTCTCTATCGTTTTCTATGTCGTGTAAAGTGAGTAAATCTTCAGTACACATGTTGTTTCCCATGTACACCGCAAATTCTGCACGCCTTGCGTCGGAACATCTTGCTTTATTCTATAACACGTTTATCTCACAACGAAGTTTTAATATGAATTTCTGGAAATAAGAAAATATTCTAATATTTTGATTCATAAATCAAAATTTCAACTCACAAAGATTTGTTTTGCGCAGGGATTCACACCGCGTAACTTCTGCACTGAATGCATTTAAACGTTTACAATATTCCTCACGTGAGTCTTAATAAAATCATTGCAACATTTTATATCTTCTTCCAGTACTTTCCAAAGATTCTCGGGAGTGTCGCAATTTATTCATCTCTTGCTCAATATTCGAGCGCATCTGCATCAACTCACAAAGAAATTGTTTAACTCGCTGCATATTGTCATCAGTAGCTTAAACAGAAAAGATTGTTACCAGAAATAACATCCCGTTCAAAATCAAGTATCAGCGCATACTCAATTTCTGCTGTAAGAGCCACAATTGGACGTCTCGGATTTTCTGAATGCGTTGCTGCTTGTCCACTTCAAATTCTTGTAATGTTAATTGGTACAAGTTCATCCCTGGCACGAAGAGGCGATATTTTTTATTAAAAATTGTTTCCGGCCCAAGGCTTTGCTGATTTCATTGCCCAAGCCTATCTAATATTTCAAAATTCTTAAATATTACTTTATCTAGAATTTCTTACTGAACACTTGCCCTACACTATGATGATAAAAATTGGTCCTGTACCTAGTAGCATAAAAATTGTTACGGCTATACCGCACAGAACCTGAAAGACGCATATGAATGCAGGTAGTACATAAAAACAATGAAATTATATTTATTTATATATTTTCTCAAACACATGCCGACCGTAGACAAACTTAAATTAGCAGCAGCTTCAAAGAACCTAGAATCTGAAATTTTGGATGGTATGCAGTTTCGTTGGCCCGGTTCTAAACGTTGACATCAGTTACGTCAGTAACAAAAACGGCATACGAGCAAGATAAAAATATGTGAGAAGTTACAAGCAATTAAAAATTTTAATGTTCAACATTTGGGTGATACTAGATAACAACAATGCTAACTAGTGACCTATAATGTCAATATTTCTCTAGGCCTCAATTTTGACTGCAATTATGAATAAATCTCATATCACAGCTTCGAATGGGCCAAACGAAAAGGTTGTAACATGTACTAAACGCAATTTATGTATGTTTTTTATTATTAATTTATAGCTCAACATCTTAGTGCGACTTGGCAGCCAACCTCTTATCTCGTTCCTCAGCGATGGTGAGTTTGATACCCTTGCCGCGCGGCAGCGACACGAATGCCTTCGTACCCTTACCAATGATGAACACATTGTTCAATCTGAAAAAAAAATAATTGTGAAAAAATGCGCAAGTTAACTGATATTTAATAGTGTTCAATGCTTGGGTAATACTGCTTAGATATTATTTTGATCTATCAGTGACCAGTGCATCGATTTATTATGGGCCACAGATTTGAATGCAAATGATCTGATTGTTGAATCAATTCACACCTTCGAAGGGCCAAAATTTGTAACTAGTTCAAAAATAAATTTACCTGGTAGCAAAAGTATGTCCTTGAGCATCCTTAATATGCACAATATCGAAGGAACCAGGATGACGTTCCCTGTTGACGACAGTACCAACACGCCCCAAATTACGGCCTCCGGTGATCATGCACAAGTTTCCGGCGTCAAACTTGATAAAGTCTAAGATCTTGGAGGTGGCGATTTCCAGCTGGATGGTATCGTTTACTTTCACATTGGGATCAGGATAGCGAATAGTGCGTCCATCATGAGTGGTGATGAATGGAATGCCCTTAGGACCAGTTTGTACCCTCCTGACTTTGCACAGCTTGTACTAGAAAGAAAGCACATTACAGTAAACTTAAATAAATATTTTGAATATTTTGCCTAAGTGAAAATGTATTACACCTTAAGTACTAGTCTAATAATAATATGTATTAGCTAGGGACTGGGTTGTAACCTTACTATCGGCCGCATTAAAATTAAACTCTAGCTTGCGTAAGTTTCACTAGCCAAAGCCTCGATTTGGCCATGACTAAACTGTGAATTGAGATATTTTCACTTACTTTAGCTTCCTCAGCAGTAATACGATGGATGGTGAAACGGCCTTTAACGTCATAGATCAGACGGAAGAACTCACCAGTCTTTTCAATAGTGATAACATCTAAAAACAATATTTATAGTTAATATATATGCCATGCAAGTTTCTTAAAAATATTTATAAGTGGTCGTTTTATATTCAATTTATTGCTCAGAAGATCACGCAATTTTGGCGAGATATTTTGATGTTGCAAATATAACAATTTACTTTATACTGATCATTCATAGTTCATCTGAATTAGTTGGCTTAAGGCAAATGTGGCAGTATGCATGTCTTACACATTTTAAGTGCTAGTCTAATAATCAAAAATATTAGCTAGGGACTGGATGGTAACTTGCTATAGGCTTCAAATTTAATAAACTCCAGCTAACAAACACTATTAACTGCAGCCTCGATAAAGCCCTAAATTTAAGATGTCCAGAAAACAATACTCACCCATGAAACCAGCTGGGTAGTTGGGGTCAGTCCTAACCTTGCCATCAACCTTAATCAATCTCTGCATAACAATCTTAGTCACCTCTGAGTTGGTCAGAGCATACTTCAAGCGGTTACGCAGGAAAATCACCAACGGGAGAGACTCCCTCAGCTTATGTGGCCCAGTGGATGGACGAGGTGCAAACACACCTCCCAACTTGTCCAACATCCATGCCTTGGGCGCATTTAAACGCTTCAAATGTTTTTCGGGCCTCGAGCCTAAAACACAAAAAATATTTAACACGATATAATACACATGAGCACTGCATTATTAGAATAAACATGATGTATTTCACAGGTTATATTTTGGTCGGTGAAGGTATTTTAAACCACATCTAACTTATATCACAAAAATATGCACTCCTTCTTATTTCGGGCAATGAGAATAACGATTATTAATTTACACGATAGATATTGAACGCACAGTCGCGCGGATGATTAAAGAATTGAAGAGAATTTGGACGTGCAACTCACCATCTTGAAATTTGAGCGAGAAGAGAGAAAACCTCCGCCAGTGAGCTAGCACGAAATGTTTCCGGTCCCTACATTACCGGCAATAGTGTAAACAACAGTGTTGCCAACTTACGGCAACCCGCCATGCGCAAGGTTTGAAAAGATTTAAATGCACTTAACTTTTTTATTGTTTTATTTCGATTTTACGTTGATAATTTAAATTATGCTGTGATTTATTCTATTTGACTATATATAATTAGGTCTTGATAAGACCTGACAGTACAATTTACTTTGGTTATCAGAGATATAATCGTTAAAATTATAAGTTTCATCAAATATTGCGAGGAATTTAATGGAATCTTGGTGGAGACATTACGCTAGAAGCAATAATTATTGCTTTAGATGAGTCTCTACCTATAGTATTCTCAGACACGGTCATTGTGTCAAGCTGTTGAGACTCCACATTTATTTCATTTCTGATGCTTTGCTTTATATCAAGTGGAAAATTATTATTACTGCACATATTAGTGCTGGATGGAATACTTTTTACTTGTTCCTCTCTTACAATCCGTTTCAGTTGCCGAGGTGATATGATTTGCCACAAGCGGATCCGACTTGCTTTCAAAACTTCGAATATCTTTGTCATTGCTTGCTTTCATATCTGCCATGCTTATTGTAGGCATGAATGAATCATAGCGCATTGATGGTTTACTTTCTTTGACATTTACCATAGATTTTTGTACTATTGAATTCATCACCTCGTCAATCTCCACCATGTGCGTTAAAGGAAACCATCGAATAAATCGTGGTTGAATTTTATTACTTTCGATATACAAACTTCTGTCCATCGCTTCTTTTAACTCAAGTGGAATATAATCGTAACTTGTTTCCTTCTGTGTGTTAAATTCTTCGACGATTTTACCAGTTAATGGAATTTCGCTTATCGGTACTGCTTTAGTAGTGACATTATCATAATGAATACAAGATGGGTGGGTATGTAGGAACTTCATGGAATTGTCGACGTCATTTATCAGCATGCGTCGAAAAGATTGAAGTTCGTTAACGGGCATTCGGAAATCAAATTCAGCGCTATTAACAATATTACTGAGCGCTGAAAAATGTGTTGGTTGTAATGTAATGTTTGTTTCTTCTCTTAAGGAATTATGTACACGTAGATCGCATGCTATATTTTTTTCATTTTGCCGTCGAAATCTAAATTCGGGTTTGAACTTTGATGGAAAAACTGCTGTATAATCTTTCAATCCAAGATCATTCTGAAATAGAATGTAACATCGTAAAATATAGTGAAATTCGCAAAAAATAAACTACCTAACTTCTATTGATTCAATCCAATCATCAAGTTTTTTACGTCCTTTCTCTTCCTGGTTGATGCAATCGACCACAAACGACCAATATTTATTAACATCTTTTACGAGTTTTAATGTTTTGTTGTCTAAATGTTTAAATATTTTCATTGTAATCCATATGGGTAACAATTGTAGCTAAGATTATATTATATGGTAATCTGATATTTTCAAACAAACATAAATAAATTCAAACTTACCATATCCATTTCCGATTTAGGTTTTTCGTATCAGCTGTTTCACTTTTTGAATTTTCTTGCCTTTTCCTTCTTTAAGAGTAGTGTCTTTCTTATTTTTACTTTTATCTGTTCTAGTTTTGCCATTTTCGCCTTGTTTCGCATTCTCTTCTTTAAATTTTGGGTCAGATGCACACCCATATATAGAAAACTCAACGTTTTTACGATATTTGGTAATCATTTCGTCCCATTCTTTTCTTTTCTTGTAAATCAATTGTACATCGGGATCGCTATCATCCAATTCTTCATTATAAGCATAATATCGTGCTGAAGGTTGAAGTTGGAATGAAAAATGTGTTGATAGTCTTGAGTGTCGAAAATAATTTCCTTCTTTTTCGTAAAACTTTTTCACACGAATTATTACTTTTCGGATTACACTATTTCCACAAATTGATAAATATGCTACAATAAAGATAAAATAATTCATGCACTCTATCGATCGTTAAATAATATTTACATAAAAATATTGCCAATTTTAGATCAATGTTATGCAAATATTTAAACCAGTACAAAGATGATTCAAAACATGCATCAAGTTCGTCGGGATCAATTGAACGATCGTTATCTTTAAATTGTGCATCGTTAATATTATCCGAGTAATCCCTGTTAAACAATTATAAGATGAATTATGAAAATGTTTCTGGTTTAAACTTCTTACATTGTTTTTAAATAGTTATACAGCTTCCCCAAAAAGTGTTTCTCTAAGATATTAAATATCATTCGTATAAACTTGTGTCTCTCTATTATGACGAACAGTTCATATAGGAATGCGACTTTTTTCGTTGACGATGCACATAATAAAACTCGCTGAGTCGTTGCATACGTGCAAAACGTATAATGATTTTCCAGATCAGCAGGGTCCACATTCGCTTAAAAATGAATTCATTACTTGAATGTTGAAATTTTATACGTTCCTACGCACCTTCTTCGTCTAGTTCATTTGGTATTAATGTACCATATATATTTCGCGACGGGATCATCTTTTTATATAATCAATTTTAAAATAGTGGTAAATATATTAAAAGGAAAATTGGAGAAAACATTCGTAGAATATGTCAAACTGACTTATTGACAAGTATTTTGAGCAATTATACAGATTGTTTCGTTCTAAAATTAACTAACGGCTACTTAGACTATTTTAAGTTTGGTTATGTGCAAATATATGAAACTTATGAAAATTGTTTTGCATATTGTGAATTATGCAAGTTATAAATTATTATAATTCAATCAATTTGAGACGGCACTGTTAACAATTTTCTGGAACAAACTCCTACAGAGAATCGAAATTACCAGCAAATACTTACAGGAACCAAAGACAAATATTCTTAATAGTGTTAGTTTATTAAAATATTATTATTATTATTATAATTTTAAAATTTTCTTTGATTTAAAATTAAGCCGTGTTGAGACTAATAATTGTGTAGAGCGATTATTGTCTATGTATGAAAAGATATTGAGCCAGAATATTTCACTGATGAGTTAACTCATTTTCTAAAATACATACAAGAAGAAAATATTAGAGATCCATATGAAATGTATGCAACATTAAGTAATGGTCTAAAATCAACTTTTCCAAATACATATACACACAATACTGCAAATTTTTTGACCTTGCCCGTTTCTAATGCAAGTGGAGAAAGGACATTTTCAGTTTTAAAACGAGTCAAAACTATCTGCGCAATAGTCTTTGACAAGAGCACTTAAATGACTTCGCATTAATGTTCATAGAAAATGATATTTTTAAAAACTAGAGTACGACAAAATTATTGAAATCTTTGCCCAAGAGAAGGCAAGAAAAGTAAATTTGTAATTTGTATTTAAATACGATTACCGTTTTTGAGCACACGTACGATGAACTCGAGAACCAAGATAGCATTGAAAACGATAATCCCATCGCGGATAGTATGGCAGAAACTTTTAACTTGAAATATTTCGATCGGTCCTGAAAACAATTAACGCACAACACCTGGTCCATCGCGAAGAGCGAATCTGAAGATAATCCATTAAATTTTGGAATAGTGCGTGTGGATTAGGCCTGCTAGGGATACCACGATAAAAAAAACGCGCCACGTACCTACTCTACCTCATGGTGGTGTGGAAATGAGTTTTTGGCACAAACGAATGTTGAAGTAGACTTTGCGGCGCCCGTACGCTGAAACTATTAATTTTACTGGGCTAATAACCGTTTTTGAAAATTTTCGGATTTAGGGGCCCCAAACTTGATTTGCGCCTAGGGCCCCACTGAAGCATAATCCGCCACTGAAATTATATATTTAATATCTTAGCAAAGTTAATTCAATATGTTTACAACATATATAGGTGTATTAAAAGTTGCATAAGATGAACGCGTATTGAAGTTATTTCTAAAAACTCAAATAGACAGATACTTTTTAAGAGTAGGTACTTACCGTGTAACATTGATGAATGCATCTGAAATTCAAGTATTTATGAAAAGTAATGAATATGAGCTATAGAACTAAAGATAGTAGCAATTAGGGTCGTCTTAACTCAACACAAGATTACAATGATTCATTATAGTATAGAAATATGTATGTTTTACGTTAAAAATTAGTTTTGTAAAGTATTTAGAGTAGAAAAGCACGTAAGAGCGTAAGAACTGGATGCGAGAAGAAGAGCAAAAACAATTCAAATCCGTACCACATGAAACATGTCAAATAATTTGAACGCTTACAACAAAAGTCCCGAAATTTTCTTTATTTTTATTGTCGCTTATCAATAACTGCACTATGTATGTTCTTCTACCTAGGACTAATAATATGAATCAACAACAATTATTTCTCTCCTAGCTGGTATGTGTTTATCGATGTACTCATAAGAATCATAAGAATCATAAGTAACACATTCGCTTAACTATGCTTAGGTAAGTTTCGGTACGTTCATTTGAAGTTTTATTTTCTTTTTTTGGTGAAGTATAATCGTATAACATTAATGTTATCATTGTGCGTTCAGTTAACAAGTAACATCGAAAAGAAACAGCAAGTTTATCTCTATCGTTTCGCATTTCTCTCATTCGTCAATCCTCACATTCAGAATGTTACAATGCAAATATCTGACTCTTTCTAACAAAAAAAAACTTAGAAGATAATAGCAACAAAAGAGGCGTTAATTAATGGTCGCGCGTCGAGAGCAAAATCAATGTAAAGGTACGACTTAAATTCCAACATGTAATTTCTCTATTATCAATTTATTTATTTCATCATCATTCATAATAATAAATACACAATATTAATATTTATAATTAATAACAAGTTCTTTGTTTCTTTTTTGTTTTTGGCAATTTATTCTTAATTTATCCTTATTAAGTTTTTTTTCTTCAATTTTATTCATTAAACCGTCATTTCATTTTATAATTTAATATTTATAAAGTTTATTTTCTTTCATGTTTCTTATTGAGTCAGATATTTGTATATTTATTTATTTTCTTCGTAAAATATGTCATTTGCAAACGTTGGACAAAACTGAAAGTATAGGCTGAAATCAATGAATGAATTTGGCAATTTGGCAATGATGATTTTCAGAATTCTTTGCTGCGCTTTGATACCCGAAAACGTAAATTGCAAACTTCGGTTGAACGCGCAAGGACGATGCAAGCAGAGAGATATACAGAGGTCACTTATAATATATATTTATATATGCACACAAAAGTCCTACGTTTATGTTCCTAAGGCAATTCTCAAATCAAGTGCATAAACGGTGGTTCGACTGTTGATGTAGTTGCGCATGATGTTATGTAACGCGTTTTCCTCGAGTTGTGTGTTTCGTCATCATCGAATAAGTCAATAATTATTAATATTACAATTAGAACGCTACAAAAACGAATCGTCTTTATCTAAAAATATATACTTTCTATATATTTTTGTATTGCGTATTAAGGCTTGGCCATTACGTTGCCCTTTTAATGTCGCGGCTCTTTCTCATCGTTTCGTGGGTTCTCCTCCTCGTAAACGCTGACATTTAACATCTAATTACAGACAAAATCGTAACGAAAACGCTCGAATCACACGTAGAGATAATAAATTCGCGCATGTGTGTGTTTTGTATGATTGTGTATGTGTAAATGTGTGTGGCGTGTGAATTCCCAATTCAAAGATTTGCCAGCGCGCGCCACCTGTATGCAATTCGCAATGAATCAACTAAAGAATTATAGGTTACGTCAGCTTGCATCGTACTTGTCAATCGCACCGCGCGGTGTGTCTCTTTCAGTTTTATGCGAATTCCTTGTTTTAATGAATATCCTTGCGTTATCATTATGTTTCATTTTTATCTTTATAGTTAATCTTATTTCCGGAGATCTCTCTAAAACGAACACAGCTAGTAACACTTTGACCACTAGCGAAACACTCGTGCGCTTGCGGACGAAACTACAGTTGAATCGTATAATTTCTCAATTATATATATACGAGTTTTTACTTTTCTTCCTCTGCTTCAATTTACAATAGATTTCTTCAGCTTTTGATTTCTGTACTAAAACATACGCACACAAACATTTTCGTTCCTCAAATTTCTCTTGTTCATTATCGTAAAACATGAAATCATGTGGACATGACGCATTTCATTTAATTGATTTTACTTAATCGTTGGTGATAAGGTTCTTACGTGTGTATACAGTTCTCTACGACGCGTTTAAACTCTACCTCGATTGTTACAAAACGAATTCGAAATGATATATATACCTAATCGAACAATGCCGATCAGAGTGCAACCCAAAAATGTGTGAGACGAAATTTTGTTCCCACTGTATTCAGAATACAGACTCAGATGAACTTGCATGGATTCCACTCACCCTGCTGTTGAAATCCATAGCAATGTTTGCTCAAAATGAAAGGTTGCAACACTGACGATGATTATTTTTAAGTGATTGTGAACTCAGAGTGTCAAAACGTGTCCCCAATTCGTTTCGAATAGTTTTATTTATTTTTTTCATCATTTTCCCTCAATTATAATATTTATAACTAAAAGCGAACGAATATACACAGTATATCATATTCGCCTTCATTTGGGTCATCCTTAACTCTTTGTAATTAATTGTTTCTTCGTCATTTTGAATAAGCCCTTAAATACATTTAATACATTTTACCCTGATTATAAATTATTATTTAATAGTAAATACAAAATCGTTTTTTTTTTTCATCATCGCATGTATCATGTATCTTGCGTGTACTTGTGTTGCCGTTAGTTGGTTTAGTATTTGCAATTCGCAACATTTAAAGTTATGGATACTCAATTAGTCATATGAATTAATATTATTTTCATTTTATTCAATTATTTATATTTCAATAGTTTCATAGAGCGACATAATTATATACTTTTTTGTTTTCATCTTCTTTATAGGTACGGCACTAAAACTAACTAACTTTTTCATCATCATTATTTCATTATTATTTATAATAATAACATTACAACAATTCCTACAAAACTTTATTTTATTTTTATCAATTTCATTAATTTTTAGATTTATTTATATACTTTTTTCTTCTGTTTGCTTTAATTCACAAATTCACAGTCACTTAAAACTAAGAACTAGCGTTCTTCACATAATTAACAATCAATCAGAGAGCTACTAGCTGCGTGTATAAATAGAATGTGAATCATATGAGAAATCCAATCGAAGAATGAAGGCTTCAAGCCATGGCCTGCGATCGTCGAATTCGGACACGAGTGCTTGGCATGAATAGGCACTAAATTGATCACAAAAATCATAGCCTCAAAACCACCATATAAAAATATGATCAATGATATTTCTCGTATAATCAACGCTTACGAAAAACGTACATATCGTTTCGGCAGTGTGTTCAACAAGTTTGAGGAGTTCAAAATATTGTCCGAGAAAATCAATCGTATATTGCTTTGTGGACATTTGTTGGTTGTTATTTTTGTTATTGGTTTTAGTTTTACATCCATCATCGTCGAAACTGAAAGGTTTTGCATTGTGCGCTTGTGTTTTATTCCGTATCGAAATTTGAAAGTTGAAAGCATCGTGAAATCGTCAAACGAAACGTGCCATTTTCTGCGTTGTTCGAATTCGGCTATCGCCGCATGTCAACATTGTCAACAATAAACCAAGAGTCGTGTGCTGCACAAAGAAAATGAGACTTTACATTATACGGATGATATATTTTCATTTTGACTAGCACTCAATAATAGCATCTTGTCGAATTTCGAACAAATGCAAGTAATCTGTTTCGTTTTTCTTTTTACTAAAATATTGGCCTGTTGTTTGTTCGGTATTAGTTTTGGTGGTGGTTGTTGTTGTTGTTTTTTGTTGATATGAAACAAGTTGTGCAAGTTGTGCTCGAAACGTTGATTAGTTCGTGTTTTGCGATCGATGGGAAACTCAACTCAAACGAAAATCCTTCTCGTGTGCGTGTGTCAGTGGTGTGTGAGTGGCTCGAAACGTATCATTCGGTCATCAGGCATAAAATTTGAGGTCGTGCGTTCATGCGAACACGTGTGTGCGCGCGTGTGGAGCGCGCCTCTCCCGAATCGAGAGATCTCCCCATTCGCACGTGGCACAGCAGTTTTGGTGTTTGATGATAATGATGATCGAACAATGTTAGCGATAGATAAATTATTTACTTCGTTTCATTCTTCATAATATGCTGATCGTAAAATTTCTAAATGTGCGACTGTTTTTACATTACAACTTCTCTCCGCTCGTTAATTACACCCTTAATTAATTATATATTTCATTTTAAAATATCACTAAGCACTCGTGAAATTTATACTGATGGCAGTCGGGAAATATATCTTCATATTTGTTTGTTTCTTCATGGTATTTTCTTCATCTTCATATTACATTAGTTTAATATTTACTTTAATCTCGATAGTTATTTCTCGTAGTAATATAATAGTAGTTCATAATATTTAGTTAGTTATTCGCAATTTGCATTCACTATACAATCGCATATGTATCTAGTCGTAATAATATTATATGCATATTTGTTAATCGCAAATGTCTGCAATGTGGTTGCTTCGTTTGCGTTGTGTGAGTGTGTGGTTTATTTATGCTGTCATTCGTTAATCGGTGCTGCAATTTTTATTCGAGTGAATCAACGAAAGTCTAACTATCGACTAAAAGTTGAATATTGATTCTTTTTAGATCAGACGTCACATTTGATGTCATGTCGTTCGTGTATACCACCTAGTTTTTGTCTGGGCTGCTCGGCAATGTCGTCTTGTACTTGTTACATCCTCGCTTCCGCTCATTGTTTATAAATATTTATTCATAAATAACAGTTTGTACGAACGGTGTGTGCTTGTTTGTAAAAATATTTCTTTCATTCAAAACTTGCAGAAATCATAAGTACATATTTGACGAATGGAAAACAACATTGGAATTGTGTTCTTAGCTTAAAAATAATGATCGTTAATAAAATTATCATATCATCAACATCAACAATTATAAGTATCATCTCAATAGTCTTCGTTTTTCTCTGCATCGTCATCATTATTATTTGTTTAATACTCATTTTGCAACAGCCACATTTGTTTTTGTAATCAATTGGATAAAATGCGAGTCAATTCATACCGAAAAATGAAAGCGATGAACGCTAAAACTAATTCGTTACGAAGTAATTTTACAAGTAACCGTTGCAACAACGTTTCGGTGCGTTCAAATTGTTTGTGTGTGTCTGTTTTAATATCTTATTTAATTCCATTGTTTATTCGATCGTTTAGTTCGCGAACGCGCGGTATTCAACTGACTCGTCACTCGCATTTGCAGTCCTAGACAAATTTTCTATGTGCACTTGAAGATATCTTTAGGTTTTTTGTATTTCTCTTATCGGTACGTGTTTTTTAAATACTTGTTTTGTTTCATTATCTTTATTTATTTATTAGTTTCTTTTTCTAAAAGAGTCCGAGCGTGTCGATTATGATCGATCAGTAACCAGTGGCCAGGCGCCTCCACATTTAATAACAACATCTTAAGCTATTATTATTAACTCTAACAGGCATTTTTATACGTTCTCATAATTTTTCTCATAAATATACTTCTTTTACGAAATGAACGAACGAAACGTACGCATAAGTGAACGTAAAAATCTTGAGAGAACAACATTCTATTATAACACTTTTTTTCATTTTTATTTTAGATTTGTGACGTGCCGTCCGCTTTGAAATCGGGACCAACACACTTATTGTTATACTGAATGAACTACAATTGTGCCGCTTTGCTGTTTCGCCGCTGCCGCTGCTGCTGCTGCTGTTGAATTGTCGTCGGTTTGCTTCCTCGGCGAAAGCAACGATGTTCGATGATGCTGTTTTCGGGTTATCTTGTTTCTCTGCATTAGATTATTTGTATATCGACATTTAAACCTTTCGACTCGTTCGCATTAACGTGGGCTACGGTGGGTGGTGAGATTCTGCTCTGTGGGTGTGTGGTGTGTCTGCATGTGTGTTTCATTTGCTATAACTTGGTGTCCTTCTTTTCTAAGGCCATGTGACGTTGTAGTTTGTAGTCAATGTGCGAATTGTGTCTCGAGTTGTGTATCAATCGGTTTTGTTCGGCAGACAAAAGGCTTCTTCCCGTGCCGCGAGGCACACTTCGACCAGCACTCGAATCGACGATAATCGACATCGTCGTTCACGCGTCTCCGCTGCGTTTTTAGTTAGTCATTACGTAGTAATAAGTGTATAATTATTATTTGTTCGTGTGTCGCGTTCTTTGGCTCGTTTTTGGCTTTGTTCAGTGTGAGAATACGTGTGGCACGATGTGTCGCGATGTAAGGATGTGTGGGTGAGTGAGTGTTAAACTGTTTTCTCTGAATATGTACCTATTATGTGTGTGTGTATGTGAGTGTATGGTGTACTTGGTGTCGCTCGAACGGAACACATATCGCCTAGCTCCCCTAATTCTATGACCACGGTTTCCTCCACTTGGTCTTTATCCGCGTCAGTAACAGCGATGTCCGCACACTGGTCGCGCACAGCATATTAACCAACAAGTGACGTACTATTAGGTTATAAACAGTATTTGTAATCGAAGTTAGAGAAATTATTTGTTGTGGTAGTATTTGTATTAGAATAATCCATGCGGTCCACAATGGTAGCACTTCGTTTAGAGTCCTGCTCGCCGACAACGTCTTCGCGGCGCCGGACGAGGCGCCCGCACCGCCGCCGCTGCCGCCGCCGCTCCAGCAGCTCGACGTGCTGTTGCCGAGGCCCGCTGAACAGTTGACCGGCGTCGCAGCGATGTCGGCAGGACCTTTCGGGCAGTTGATGCACAGCGACGATCCGAGCCCGTCTCGGCCGGCCGTGCCGCCGCAATTGGAATAATTATAACAACAGTCTTCATCTCCCACCGAGGACTTGAGCCTCTGATCTCCCGTCTCCGGGATGTTCGGATCTGAAAGCACGTCAGTTAATAAAATGCATCAAAATACCTACAGAACTATTTAAATACCAGCAAACAATTTCTGACCTAATTAAATGGTCAGTTATTCGACAACAATGACCGAGTAAACTTTATAAAGTAGATACTATATTATTGATCACTTTTAACAGTGGTACTACTCCCGTTATAGATTGACGCCGCCTAAATTATTACCGTACAGTCGTCAAATTGAAGCCGCAAATTGTTTTAGACGCCGAACGTCAAATATCGGACCACGAATCAAATCTAACTAACTTTGAGCGTATCACTCCAAAACGGTGTTGGAAAGTCAGACGCTGTGCAAGGAATCGAGGTTTGATTTTATAATTGCATCAATACTTTTGACATCTTGACGTGGTATCGGCTCAAGTAAGAATGGACCAGTTACAAATAAATAAATACAAAGTGTTTGGCAATCAATTAAATATTATTGGTAAAACCCAAGGGTTAAATTAAAGCTTAATATCAAGTTAATACGATGATAGAAAGTGTTAGTTTTAAGGTTAATTAATTAAGTTCCATAGATTTCACCTCTCTGTTAATGTTTATCTATTGAAGGTGTATCGAATATTGGGCTCCACCTTACCCCAATATGGGCATAGGGTCATGTCTGTCACTTGGGCAGGCAAGGCAGCCGTCTTGCTTCCTACGGGACTATAATCGCTTCAAGAGCAATCAATAATTCAGACGCTCGTCGTTCACCGTCACGGAGCGCGGTGGCGGCAGTAACGGCAGAGGAGGCGGCGAAGAGATGAGTAGAAAAGCGCCCGCGTGCAGCCGTTTCCGTTGGTCGTGCTCCTTTTCGGCTGGCCTGAAACTCTCTCGGTTTTCCGAAGTCGAGACAGGCCGCCGTGGGGATCGCTTGATCGCAAGACGGCGGCTTTTGGCCTTCCGAACACCGCAAACACCAAACCGAACGAACGCCGACGACGACGGTTACCAATGGCAAACAAAACAAGGGTATATGTGTGTTGTACAACGCAACCCGACTGAAATCGACACTCTGGAAATTTATTGCATTTTGGGAGATTTTCCATTTGTTGGTAGGTACAGATTGTTTGTAGAAAATTTGCAGCGTGCATTAATTATAATTAAATTATTATTTGCCAGTTGAATTGGTTCCAAACACACGCAAAAGTCGCGCAAACATTGTTGATATGTTGACGATTTTGTTTGAAAACTTTCGGCACGAAAACTCGACAAAAGTCGAAATTAACTTGAGCAAAACGCTAAACTTTGTATCACGACAGGCTTTATTTTAATTCCCAATTTCTTCAATATTTATGGCCCGCTCGAGCAAATTTTCATCCGCATTGTGTTCCCGGCTTTGTTTCACTCGTGTATCGCTAATACCTGCAATCGCATCGACTTCACTGGCGGCGAGCGCGCCTCTTTACGTTTGCAACAAAGAGGGTGCTAAAGTGACGCTGTTAAATTATACAAGTATATAAAGTTAATGGCATAATAGCGCGCGTCGAAAGTTAACTTGGGCTGGCTTTCACTGGTTCGCACTTCGCCGCCGCCATGAGCGAAAAGTGACTTGAAACGGAAGCTCGCCGTCAATGGAAAGGAAGACGCGTGTTGGATGTTCGCCAGAAATTCCTCGTCATGCCTATATCTTCTCACATCCTACATTTTCTGTTAGATTACATCTACTCAATCGATATTCATAACCAAGCTAAGGAAAATCTACTATTCATGAAGTGGATATTCTAAAGAATAAATGTTGCACTTTTTAGGGATAATTTTTTTAAAAATAAATTTGAAAAGGCCAGCAGGTGGTGGTTAGTTGAATTACGAAATTGAATTTCAGTGAGCGTTAGTCAATCGTTGTAAAGTTGCGCGTTTGTGGTCCAAAATGAGTATTGGGCAACGGGGGCAGCATGTTGTTGGCGGTGATCGTACGTGCCGAGCGATGGCGCTCGGCCATAACTCTCCCCGCGCGCCGCGGCCGGGGCAAATCAGTTCCGAGTTGGCCGCTGCAAGATTGTACTTCGCAGCCAACTACATTTATGACCATCGCCATCGGCAGCGGCATGCTTGACCACGTCGGCACAAGAGCGTGAGCTGCGAGTTTATCAAATGATTGACTCGACTGGACCGGCATCACAAACAGATGTTGCGCGATTATTTGCTCGTTCCAGGCGGCCATCAATCGATTATTGAGCGATTCGCAGGCTTAAATTGGCTTTTACGGCGGCCGAGAGACGCGCTTTAAAAATTACGAGCGGACGGACATGATGCGTGCCGGCGATGATAACGCATGATTTTTCTTTTGCGGATCGCAGCGGTTAATAAACCGGAAAATGGATATTACCGAGGCAGAGAAAAGTAGGCTCGCCGGCATATTGCGTGGGATGAGCTGGTGCACGGTCCCTGGAAGCATGTAGGGACACTTTTGCTCCACACTCTGGCAGACGCTGGGACAGGGCCTCACTCTCGCCGTGCGATTGAAGTAATGAGGCACCATTGAGCTGCACACCCACTTTCGGTATGCTTCCTAAAACAGAAAAACATGTGTATTCAGTAAATCATCCTATAAACAAATTTTAAAATATTGGTAGATAAAATTTTGCACAATTAAAAAGATTCTTTTGAACTGGGGCGTCGTTCTCTGTAGTTATTTTGATAAAGTTGAAGCAAGTTTACCACTCGCTTATATTAACAGTTCAGATACAATAATCGTCTATGTACATATAACTTCCGATAAGTTTAGATTAAAATTAGATTAATGTAAAATAAATAATTTTCATGACCAAGAAGACCTAAAACTCAAAAGATTAAGTTTACGCATATTTTTGGTAAAAAATTACAAAAACATTGTCAAACTTCGTGATGTTTGAGCACAAGCCTTATTTTTCACGATCCTGCACTATCTTGCACGGACCGACCATTTTCAAGCTGCATCACCTCGTTATTTGCAATAGTAACGAACGTGTACCACTTAACTTATTGCTATAACTCCCTACAAACTTCAAATATTATGTTTTTTTTAATAATAAAGGTATAGAAAATATCAAATGATATCCTTTTATAAAACAGGGAAATTCTTGGTTCAGTTACGTCAACAATTCCCCAATGGTTTGACACTTGTGGATTACTTTATTCTTTGCTCATTTTTGCCAACTCTTTAAATACTAGGTATAAATGTACCTCAACATTATGTAATTTAAAAAGCTTGGCAAAGAAAAGAAAACGTTAGATATAAGTTTGATGATACACCGAGGAATTTGAACAAATTCAAAATGCGCTGTTGTAACTTTTAAACACACAGCATATAATATACGCACAATTTTACAAAAACTATCTTTACTCCCGTAATTCAAATAATGCATAAATCATTTAAATCCTGTATAATTTTAATGATTGGCTACTTACTATCGTCTCACATTATTATTCATATCATTATCAAAACGTTTTGACGTCAGTCTTGTTTGATATCAAATGATCTCCACTGAACTGGCTCACAAAGAAGGAACACAAACGAAGGCGTTTGAAAATAAACAATAGGACACAAGCACCTTAAAAAAGCTTTGCCAGGAGGGACAACGCCGTCTCTCATTAATCTCTCAGCGTCGCTGGAAGCGACGAAACGCTGGACGGGCCCGAACGTCTGGATCCACTAACAAACTCTCATCAGCATCCTGTTGTCGCGAGCGGTGTCACTTGCTCGCTGCCTTCGGCCGCGAATCAAAAGAAGTACTCCGCGCGCCGCGGGCTTTTTCTCGCTCGCAAAACCGACTTCAAATTAGACTAATCGTCGGCGATTATTCAACGCGCCGAACGCTTAACAAGCGGCCAATGAAAAGGCATAAATGAAGAGAGTAAAAGCGCCTTCTTGGCTCGACGTTGCCTCTCGGGCTTTTAACTTATGACTGCAAACGGAAGCGGCAAGGCGGCGGCGGAGAACGAAAATGATGAGGCCACATTGGGGATAATACGCGCCCGCACGCACATCGTCGACATGTAATTCGTTCATTAATCGTGTCTTTACATTATCCTTCCGACGCTTGCTTGCTTTCATAAAAAAAAAAGCGTAAAGGAAAACAGCATGATAATTATTTCAAGAGGCTGCTTTTAATTATGCGATGTATAAAAATTTGATTATTAGTACCCACTGAGTATGTTGTATTACCAACAAAGATGACTAAATATAATTTATTTTGTCAGTTTTGTGTTATAGGTTATGTTTTTGAGACTCAAGTTGTGTCACAACCAAAGTTATACCAAATTGCCATCTCGTGGAGAAAATTATTACTGCTCTAGAAAATATGGCAGAACGTCTAGTATCCTGTCTTAATTAAGTACGTTCACAGACAAGACAAAGAAGCAATTGTGAGGCGTTACACGCGCATACGCTAACTGGATATCTTTCGCAATACACGCCCGGATCGATCCGTCGTCAATCACTCGCAATCCCGAGTGCACCGTGTGTTTCTTTTCGTTTTCGTTTGCCGCTCGCAGCGCAACACAAACAAGCAACAACGTATCAATTCCCCGATCCCCTTGTCTCTCTATACACATCGCGTCGCACGTCACTCACGCCGAAAGCTACGCTTTCGATTTGCCATTAAGCCGGCTTTCTCGCCCACTCACCCCGCTCACACAACAACTCGCGATATCGGAGATGGAAAGAAAGTGAGCGAATCTGCAACGTGCATCAACAGTGTAAAACCACTTCAACATCTTCATATTCGTTATTAAAATTTTACAAAACGCGCTGCGCAAAATTTAATAACTCGCTGCGGTTTGTTGCGCCGGAACGCATGAACGTACACATTTTAAATATTTTACAGTGGGTCGTTAATGCGTTGCTTTATATTTGAAAATCGCTCGTGAAGAGATCTGCATCCGTCCGGTTTATCGCCGCGGTCTTACGAGATGCCAAATTAAAATGTACGTTATGCGCGAGCGCCTTTTTCCCATTTCGCTCATTTTACGATGGAGCAATAAAAGGTGGTTGCTGTGCAAGTCTGCAAACTTTTCAACTGGATGCGCAGGGCTGTCGCATTAATATTATCGCTGGAATAAAAGTGCTATTAGAATAATAACAATCACGGTTTATTATCAGAAAAGGTGATATTGCACAGCGCCGGGGTACCTTGCACGCAACTTGAATCAAATTAACTTTAAATTGCATTATTATACTTGGTGTCATGACCTGATAACTAGACATGTAGATCAAGCTAGAGATGTCATTTTGGTACGAACATGAACAATCCATAAACGACTTATTGCATTGCAGTTGTTGTGAGGAATTGTTCTAAGCGTCATTCACTTGAAATGATAAAATATTTGGCATTTGTCATTTGTAGTATTTTTCTATATATTAAAACTAACTCTTTCGGCGAAATTCGTAACCCTCATCAATAAATGTTTTGTTATTAAAGTAAAATGAATATTCAATAATAAAATGTTTTCGAATAACATTTAAATTAATGTGAAAACATTTATGCAAGAAAAAAAAATTGCGTTTTTGAAGCGCATCAAATTAACTTGCAAAGCATTCTTACTACTTTCTGAGTCAGATAAAAAAGGAAAAAGTACAGTGTTGTCAATTATGTCAAACGACAAAATCTTATAAAGAAAACTCGTATATAATAATAAAAAGTAGCATAACTAATTGCTTATTTGTTCCTTGTACCTATTATGTGCTTATTCCGCCAATAAAATTCTCAATTTTAATTTAAGGAAATCTGAATTGCTGAAAAGCACTTTAGTGCAATATCGATTCAAATAATTTATATTAATACTTTGCAACCAACAGTAGTCTTGTTTTTCCTTTGTTAAAATATCTTTAAACTAAAATATATCTAAATGGTTTTTGTGTGAAAACGTCACAAACGTTATTTTGTTATTCAACCCATGATTTTAAAAACCAGATCTTAATTTTGTATTACATATTTTATTTATTATAAATGTATAAATTTATTATGCCAACATTTATATGTTGGCATATAAATAAAAATTAAAGCAAAACTATCTAGTAATGAGACATGTATTTATGTTATTAGTTTACTCTAACAACATAGTTTAATTTTTCTTGAAAATATACTTCCTTTGTTTTAATGAAAACGTGCACGAGCTTCATGCCTGAAACTAACTTAGGTAGGTAACAATCGAACGGACAGAACGATAAGAAACTTTATGCGAGACACGCGAAGCACACAAATCTTGTAAACTCATAACAGTTGCTAAAATGGACTCAAACAGATAGAATAAACTTGGACGGCGGAGCCCGAAGAAGTCAGAAACAATCGAGAATCGAGTTGAATACTGCACGCGGTGCGGTATGGAAAAGTCGGCTTTAATTACGCGTCATTTTCGTCTTCGGCAACTCCGTGGCGCGTTCTAATTTCGAAACGTGCCAAGCGTTGCTGGCGCGTTCAAACGTTTAAATGTTTGCACAATAAGATAAAAGATAAGAAAATATTGACAACGCTCGACGAATCGCAGATTTGACAACTTCCATCATGTGGAACATTTCCGGATGTTGCAGGATGTGCACAACGATGAAAAATTATTGGCGGTAAATTACAGGAAAACTTTTTGTCAAACCATTTCCACTTTGATATACAAAGGATTGAAAACAAAAAGAAAACTTAATATTATATCAACTTAAAAATTTCAAACAGAATGTGCCCCATTTAGGAATGTAGACACCAACAGGTTTAGCGTTAGGCCAATGTGAAACAAACAAATAGTGAAGCATTTTACACATGTTGCACACAGCGTTGGAATCCCAAGCACATACATCGCGACTCCCAGAGACATTTAAAATGCATAGTGCATAAAAGCTGCAGGAGCTGGTGCGCAGCACAGCGTATAATCGAATGCATTCCAAATTTATCGTCCACCAGGGACGGACTGCAATTTATTCCATTCCCACAACTATTCGCCACAAAAATTGTATCTATTTGTGATTTATCCTCACATTGTTTATCATTGCTTCGACGATCAATACAAAATTGTATATATAGGAATAATCATGGAATGCGAATGCATTTCACGAGTTTCAAATTGCTTGTTGCTTGAAGTCGGCTTTCGGTAACTGATATCTCAACTGCTCGCCCGGATCCACTCACTCATATTCTCTCCACGGTTGGAAAATAAATTAATTTAATTATATTCGAACGCGGCGCGCTGCTATCTTCTTCGTGACCCTTGTTCCGCTGGTGTAATCTTATTTCCTTGATTTATATTTTCCTCTTAGTCGGTGGTGGCGCTTCCACTTGTTCGGGTAAAAATAACACAAAAAGCTGGTTTACTAAAGCGCCGATGCTGCAAACTGCACACAATTTAATCTTTTGACATCGCATACTTTAAGACAACTTTTATTTTATCTACACTAGTATTCCTTTTAGATTGATATTAATAAAATAGAATAAAATAAAATAAAATCTAATGAAATGCTTATACATTTGGCAGAATGAAAGTTTGCAGACTTTAAAACGAGCAATGTAATCAGGTAACTAATCAATTTTTATGGAACAAGGGACC